GAAAAAGTCACTTTACATCTCTAGGTGCCTTTTTCATCTGTAAGATGGCATAGCATGAAATAGTGGGGAACACTATTTAGAAGGGAGAGGTGTTCTGAATTCTTGTACTAATTCTGGTACTAAATACCCGCCTAAGACATGGACGCTAACCCAGCACCCTAATGTGTACCTTTCTGCGTCTAACACCCTCCCTGTCTTTCACAGAGGGCTATTGTCAGAGTCTGTGAAAATAATGTTTAGAGAAGTGATTTTTCAAGATAGATAAGTGAGAGAATATATGTGTAGAGAATTAATTATATAATTAGATTTATTAATTCGTTCCATTAACATTTATCTGGCCCCTTCTAATCTGTGCTAGGCATTGTAGGTACAGACTTTAATAAAACATAGTTCCACGTGTGGAGGAGCAATGGGAATAATAAATGCATGTATACAAATTTTACCTACATGTTTATATATCTAAAACAGTAATGTTGTCAGGTAAGTGCTGAGGTCTATGTGAAGTGCCATGAGGTTAATTACTTATTATTTTAGCCTGAAAGATCAGCATGGAATTAGATTTATATGACTCGATATTAGGATGTGTTACTCAAATTCAGAGCAAAAACTCAATATGTCTATAAACTGATTTCCTAAAATATTATAAAAACTTTATTCTCCAAAAGTGTTGAATGTCTGTAGTGACTCCAGTCTTAACATGGTAAGTGCTAAGTGTTTTCTTGGGGAAGGCAGAGGGGGATCCTTTCTTTTTTTTGAGATGTAATTCACATACCATAAAAATTCACCATTTAAAGTGTATGATTTGGAGCACCTGGGTGGCTCAGTCGTTAAGCATATGACATTGGCTGAGGTCGTGATCCCAGGGTCCTGGGATCAAGCCCTGCATCATGCTCCCTTCTTGGCAGGAAGCCTACTTCTCCCTCTCCCACTCCCCCTGCTTCTGTTCCCTCTCTTGCTGTGTCTCTCTCTGTCAAATAAATAAGTAAAATCTTTTTTAAAAAAATAATAAAGTGTATGATTTAGTGGTTTTTACTGTTTTTACAAAACTGATCGATTTTCAGAATATTCCTTTGCCAAAAAAGAAACCCCATTCTCATTAGCAGTTCCTCCCCATTCTCACCTTCCCCCAGTCTCTGCCAACCACTGATTTGCTTTCTGTCTCTACAGATTTGCCTATTTTGGCAAATCTGTATTTGCCTATTCTTCCTATTCCACATAGGTACAAGCATACAATATGTGTTCTTTTGTGGGTCACTTCTTTCACGTAGCATAATATTTTCATCCATACTTCATGTCAATATTTCACTACTTTTTACAGCTTCATAATAGTCCATTGTGTGGATAAGACTACATTTTGTGTGTTCACTTCTCAGTTGATGGGCTTTTGGATCATTTCCATCTTTTGGCTATTACGAATGATGCTGCTGTGAACATTCTTGTGCAAGTTTTGTATGTAAATATATTCATTCCTTTTGGAGTGAATACCTAGGAGTGGAACTGCTGGGTCATGTGGTATCCCTATGTTTAACATTTTGAAGAACTGCCAGGCTTTTTCCAGAGTGACCATACTGTTTTTACATTTACACACTAGCATGTGTAATAATTTTAATTTTTCCACATCCTTACCAACACTTGTCATGTCTATTTTTATTGTAGCCATCCTAGTGGATGTGAAGTGATATCTACTCACTGTAGTTTTGATCTATATTTCCCTAATGACTAACAATGTTAAGCAAATATTCTTGTGTTTATTGGCCATTTATATGTCTTCTTTGGAGAAATGTCTATTCAGCTTCTTTGCCCATTTTTTAAAATGGGTTATTTGTCTTTATTTTTGAGTCAAATAGCTTTTTATGTATTCTGGATCCAAATTCCTTACCAGATATATGATTTGCAAATATTTCTTTTCTCATTCTGGGGGTTTAGTTTCTCAGCTTCTTGACGGTGCTCATTGAAGCATAAAAACATTTTAGCCTTGATAAAGTCTAGCTGTCCACTTTTTCTTTTTTTTCCTTGTGCTTTTGGTATCACAGCTAAGAAACCACTGCCTAATTTTTCATGAAGATTTGCTTTTATGTTTTCCTCTCAGAGTTTTGTAATTTTACCTCTTATGTTTTGGTCTGCAATCAATTTTCGTTAATTCTTGCATATGGTGTGAGGTAGGGGTCCAATTTTTGCATGCAGATAACTAGTTTGACACAGCACTGTTTGTTTAAAAGACTTTCGTCTCCTTTGAATGCTCTTGGCGCCCTTGTCAAAAATCAACTGACCACAGACACATGGGCTTATTCTGTACTTTAATTTCTGTTCCACTGACATTCCATTGTCTCTCTTTATGGCAGTACCACACTGTTAATTACTGGTGCTTTACAGTAACTTTGAAATCAGGAAGTATAGCTTCTGCATCCTTGCTCTTGTTTTTCTAGATAAATTTGGCTATTTTTTCTCTCTCTCTCTCTTTTTAAAGATTTTTTAATTGATTTGAGAGAGAGAAAGAGAAAGAAAGAAAGCATGAGGGGGGAGAGGTCAGAGGGAGAAACAGACTCCCTGCCAGGCAAGGAGCCTGATGTGGGACTCTATCCCAGGACTCCAGGATTATGACCTGAGCCAAAGGCAGTTGCTTAACCAACTGAGCCACCCAGGTGCCCCTATTCTGTGTCTCTTATATTTCCATATGAATTTTAGGATCATTTGTCAATTTCTGGGGAAAAGAAAAAAAAGCCAGCTTGAATTTTGGTAAGGATTGATCTGTAGATGACTTTAGAGAATAAAGCCATCTTAACAATATTGAGCCCTTCAGTTCATGAACATGGGATGCCTTTCTATTTATTTAGATCTTTAATTTGTTTCAGTGATATTTTTTCAGTTTTCAGTGTACAGCTCTTGCTCTTTAAGTTGATTCCTAAATACATTATTCTTTTTGATGCTATAATAAATTCCAGTATTTCCTTAGTTTCATTTTCTAAGTGTCCATTGCTAGTTTTTACAACTGATATTTGATGGTTTGACGTCGTGTCCTGCAACCTTGCTAAATTTGTTAATTCTGTGTGTGTGTGTGTGTGTGTGTATTCCTTTTAAGAATTTCTATATAAGCTCATGCCATCTCTGAACAGAGAGAGTTTTTTTTTTTCTTTCTTTTCCATCTGGATGCCTTTTCTGTCTTTTCCTTGCCTGCTTTCCCAGGCGAGGACCCCTGGTACAATGTTGAAAAGAAGTGGGGAGAGCAGACCGCCTTGTCTTTCTTCTGTACTTAGTTTTCAGTCTTTCACCATTGAGTGTGATGTTAGCTGTGAGTTTTTTCAGGATGACTTTTATCAATGTGATGAAGTTTCCTTCTCTTCTGAGTTTATTGAGTGTTTTTATTATGAAAGGGTGTTGGATTTTGCACATGTTTTCCTTATCTGTGGAGATAATCATGTGGTCTTTGTCCTTTATTATATTATATTTTTATATATAATTACATATTATATATAATTATATATTATATGTATAATAAAATATATAATTATATGTAATAATTTATATATATAATTTATGTGTAATTGTATTATATATTATATTATATAAAGGTATATTAGTTACATTGATTGATTACATTTCATTCCTGGGGTAAATCCCAAGCATGGTATATAATCCATTTTGTATCTTGCTAGATTTGATTTGCTGATATTTTGTTGAAGATTTTGTGTATGTATTCACAAGGGATTTTGGACTGTTGTTTTCTTGAGATATTTTTATCTGGTTTTACTCTCAGGGTAATACTGCTTACTAGAATGTAGCAGGAAGTGTTTTCTTCTTTAAAAGAGTTTATGAAGTTTTCATTTTTGCTTTAACATTTCGTGGATTTCTCCACTTAAGTCCTCTGGTCCTGGGATTTTGCACATGTGTGGGAAAGTTTTTGTTTTGAGGTTTTTTTTTGTTTGTTTTTTTTTGTGGGAAGGTTTTTGATTACTTGTTATTGTTATATTGAGACTATTTCTTCTTGGGTCAGTTTCCATAGTTTTTATCTTTGTAGAAATTTGTCCATTTCATCCAGATTACATAAAATTGTAACATAAAATTGTTCATAGTATTTCTTTGCAAATCCTTTTTATTTCTGTAATGATAGTAATAATGTTTCCTACTTCTTTCCGGATTTTAAGAGTTTAAGTCTTCTTTCTTTTTTTCTAGCTAAAACTTTGTTAATTTTATCTTTTTCAAGGAACCTACTTTTGATTTCATTGATTTTTTTTTCTATTGTTTTCCATTCTCTGTTTCATTTCGTAATGTATTTTCTTGTACATCAGCTCACAGAGTGTAGTTGGGAATCCCTTAGACTCCTTCAGCAGGTCGTTGAAGTTAATATTGTTTTCATAATAACACCAAGACTCTGCATTGTAAAGCATTCTGATTTTGAAGCAGAGATGAGAACTTTCTCTTTTTTACTTAGCCTGGTATTAAAGAGTTTGCAAAGTTGCAAAACAATGCCATTGTCACTAATATTTTTTGGGGGGAAATAGAATTAGTTTTCATTTAAAAATGTACCATTTATAGTGATACATTTTCCTATTTTAAAATGAACTATTAAATCTTTTTACTAGAGATTTTTACCAAAAAAGCCCTTAGGAGTCTTCAGAGAATTTTAATAGTATAAAGAGGCCTGTGATCAAAAAGTTTTAAAGCTGCTGTTATGTATTATTTAGTCTTTAAAAAAAATTGTGATTTAGAGATTCCTTTTTTGTAGCTAAACAAAATGGAAAAGCTAAATAATTCAGCATTTTAAACATAAGAGCCAGGATTAAAAACTGAGTTTTTCATATTCCAGAATTTATGCCCTTCAAAAATTATACTGTTCTGTCCTTTGTGTTTTGACTAGCTAAATATTTGACTTTTCTTCTTTTCTACATTGACTAATTAGTCAATCTTTTAGAGTATTTTCTCAGTACTGTGTGGTAAGGTGTTAGATACTGTAAATACAGTTTTTCTCAGACCATAATCATTCTCTGGCATTTCCTCAACAGTGAGATGTGTCATGGCAATGCTGAGAAAGAGAATCAGGGATGAGAAGACCAATGTCAGGAAGTCTGCACTGCAGGTGTGAGTTTTTTCTAGATATCCTTGAATATGCTCTCTTTTTAGCACTAAAAACTTGGAAATATTTTGTAAAAACCCCAGCCATAGTCATTATTTAACTTCTTTTTTACTTAACATTTGTTCACTTTGGTCCTGTTGTATATATAAATTACAGAGATGATCTAAAGGTTTGTCTGTTTTTAAGTTTCCTGGTTGGTTGTTGGCTTTTTAAGAATCAGATATTTAGGGGCTCCTGGGTGGCTCAGTGGGTTAAAGCCTCCGCCTTCGGCTCAGGTCATGATCCCAGGGTTGTGGGATCGAGCCCGGCATCAGGCTCTCTGCTCAGCAGGGAGCCTGCTTCCTCTCTCTCTCTGCCTGCCTCTCTGCCTACCTGTGATCTCAATCTGTTAGTAAATAAATAAAATCTTTAAAAAAAAAAAAGGAGTCAGATATTTATATCCTTAGCTTTTTTTCTTTGGATTAGGGATTCTTAATCTAGGAACCATGGATGGATTTTGTTAGGGTGCATGTAACTGCTGAATTTGTTTGTAAATACTTGTTTATGTAAAATAAGTTTTAAGAACCACAGACTTAAGTCTTATTTTTGTCTACAGTGTGTCTTTGTACTACCAATAAGTTATCAGCCCTGTTACATATGTTCCTTCTAGGTACTAGTGAGTATTTTGAAACACTGTGACATCTCCAGTATGAAAGAAGAGCTATCACTTCTGCAAGACCAGTGTCGGGACCCTGCAGTATCTGTCCGAAAGCAGGCCTTACAGTCTCTTACGGAACTTCTTGTGGTGAGGAGCAGTGTATTTTTACGTGAAAAATAATTCAGCATAAATAATTACCTCTTGCTGAATATTAAGTTGACTAGTGGAAATTCCACCAAGTGTACTGTAGGACTATATACAGTGTAAGGGAAGAGTTATCTTTCAGTTACATATGATAATGTTTCATATTAATATAAATTATGAACTAATACTAGAGAATGCTAGTGATTACCCTTTTTTTGACTTTAACTTAAATCTCCCATAGAAATGTGAATTTTAAAATGAATTTTGTTAGGTCAGAGACCTAGATTAATTTTTCCACATTAAAACCTATTAGATGATATTGCCAAAAGAACAGATCCACTAATCTGATATGTAATTTACTTCTGCCAAATAATTAGCTTTTGAAGAATTATAAAAGCATGTTTGTTTCTTTACTTCATGATAGAAAGCAATAGGCAATGCATACATTTACTTCCTCTGTCAGCATCTATTCTAATTGTTCCTTGGAATAAGCATTCATCTTTTGTTCTTGATCTTGAATTACCAAAAAGTACTGATTTACTAATAATACTGCAATGACTTCCTAAGTTTAAAATTTCAGTACTCACTGATAATACAGTAATTGGGGATTGAACTTTGTTTTAACATGTATTTCAAATGTTAATTTTTTTTTTCACTTTGATGGTTTATTTGTACTTGTATGTGTGACTCTTTTTAATCTGTCTCAATATTGACCACAGCCTCACTGATTTGTATTTAGACATCTGGTAGCATCACACTTCTTTATGACTTCATAATGTTTAATTCCTAAGGCCCAACCTGGATGTGTCCAGATACAGAAAGCCTGGCTGATAGGAACCATCCCAGCTGTGATGGACTGTGAGAGCACAGTGCAGGAAAAGGCTCTGGAATGCCTTGACCAGCTCCTGTTACAGAACCTTAAGCATTACAATAAATTCCATACTGGAGACAATAGCCAGGTACTGGCTTGGGCACTTCTTACTCTCCTTAGTACAGAAAACCAGGAACTGAGGTATGTAATTCAAATTGCTTACCATTTTTGTAGTGACAGTTTTTTGTGAAGCTTTTAATTAACTCCTTTTGCATTTCTCTGAGTGTTTAAATTAATGTCTTATTATGTAATAGAAAGTACTGATGGACATGATATATTAATAGTAATTTTCCAGATACTCATTTTTATAAAAGATTACTTCCTAGTTCTTTCAAATTAAAGTTTTCCTGACATCTTACGGGATTGGTTGACTTAATACGACGGCAGTATTTTTTCCCCCATTTGATAACATTTACTGAGCATACACTCTGCAGTGAATACTGTAATGAGAGGTTAACACCTGTTGTATTACTAAATTTTACCTATCCTGTAGTAATCTTACAATTAGCTTGTGTTTACACTACCTTGAGTGACTTTTAATCATGTAAGAAACACTTCCAACTTGTTTACATGTAGTCATGAAGGAATTATCACACAGTAGAAACATACTAGATTTTGTATTGTAAAATGCTGTTCTGTAGCCCTGACAAATCACCAGTAAAATTGTGCTTAGCAGGGGCTGTGGAGAAAGCAATGGGAAGTTACTGTTAAATGGATACAAAGTTTCACTGTGAGGTGATAACAGAGTCCTGAGGATGGATGATTGGCACAACCGTGTGACCCCACTGAACTATACACCTAAAAATTGTTAAAATGATAAATTTTATGTGTATTTTACCACAGGAAAAAAATTTGTTTGCCCAAAATTAGGAAGGAGAGTATAGAATTAGAGTCTTAAGTGTAAAAAAGTTTTGGAATAGCCATTATAGAAAATGATCTAGGGCAGCAGTCCTCAAAGTGTGATGGATTCATGAGCTCAGACTATTTTGATCATTATATTAAGATGTTATGTGCCATTTTTCACTTTTATTCTTTCACAGTACAATAGACTTTTCTGGAACCATATGATAATACTTGAAGCAAATAGAATGGAGAGGCAATTATAATAATCCACCTGTCTTCTGTTTAAGCCAGACCATAAAGAGATTTACAAAAAGTAAAAGCAATAACACTGTTCTCACCAAGTTTGTTTTGAGAAAGATTATTTTAAAAACAAAGATTATTTGTTTTGAGAAAGATTGTTTTGAGAAAGATTGTTTTGAGAAAGATTATTTTGAGAAAGATTATTTTGAGAAAGATTATTTGAGAAAGATTATTTTTTTTGTAAAACAATGCATTTATGTTAACTTATAATTGGCTTATTGTTATTTTTAGATTAATAGATAGGTATTTTTAAATTTCTCAGTTTTAATTTCTGCCTAGCAGGATATAGCCTACATAAACCAAAGCTCTTCAAGGTGATGCATAATTTTGTAGTTCAAAAGTGCCCAAAGATGAAAAAGTGTGAGAACCACTGAGCTTGGGAATCAGTTTTTCAAAAAGGATTATTAAGAAAAGTAAGGGCTGGTGGAAGGAACAAAGTTCTATAAACATTTGTAAACAAAATCTTTTGGTATGTTCTTTGATAAACAGAAAATAGCTAGAACATTAGGACATGTTCAAGAGGAGAGACTTAACAGAACAGATGACTTTTGAATTTGAATATTGTAGGCTAATAAGGAGGCAGAAGGGGAAACAAACAGCAAGTGTAAAGCCATGGAAGCATAAGCAGTGCGTCCTGTTAGGAGCCATAGGATTTCAGTGTGAGTAGAGAAATGGTGCCTGTCAGACTACATAAAATGAAAGGAGATGTTAAGCAGGGTCCACATACTGCAAAGTTTTAACATAGCATACCAAGGAGTTTGACTTTAGATAGAAAACAGAATGGGAGGGGGAGGCTGCTGATGACTTTAAAGTGGATGGGTAATACAGGATTTTATATTTTTGGAAATACTAACCTTGAAAATAAAACACCAATTATTTACCAGCAAAATGGGTTTATACAGGAATAGCATAGCTGTGACAAACCACAGGCAAGTCTGGAGATCAAAGGAGAGGAACTGTTAGTGTTTAGAGAAAGGGGGACTTGGGGAGGGACTGCTTTGAAGGAAAGCATTGAAAGTGAGTGAGAATTCAAGGTGGTAATTGTTTCTCACTGGCTGAATTGTGACATACTCTCAATTAGCTGGGCTGTCACCAGGCTAGAAGGAATCCTGCCTCTTGGCTGGAATAGTCAAGTCAGCTTGTTCCTCTTGGGAATACAAGTCCTAACCCTTCCTGTTGGGTCTGAAATTGATGATCAGTGGTAGGCATGAGAGCTCCCCCTGCTGGCTTCTCAGCTCCACTTTCAGTTTCACAGAAGTGCAGAAAGGGACTTTTTTTGTTTTGTTTTGTTTTGTTTTGTTTTTTAATTTAATTTTATTTATTTATTTTTTTAAACATATAATATATTTTTATCCCCAGGGGTACAGGTCTGTGAATCGCCAGGTTTACACATTTCACAGCACTCACCATAGCACATACCCTCCCCAATGTCCATAACCCCACCCCCCCTCTCCCAGCCCCCCTCCCCCCATCGGGACTTTTGCTTGGTGACCAGGAGAAAACTAGAATCTAAGAAAACAGGCCAACACTGAAGTGATTTAAGTTAAAGATGATGAGGGGTTGCATCAAAGAGAAGGCATTAGAAGTGAAGAGAATGAAGTATGTTTAAGAAGTGGAAGTTTAGAATTGGTAAAGTTTTGATTTGAAAGGGATCAGTGCACTTTGACTCTTCTTAAGCTGCTCACAGTCTAGTGGAAAGAGACAAAATAAATTCACAACTTTAGTAGAAAGTGAGTTTTAGGAGCAAAGAGGAAGGGTATAGAGCAGTTTGGTGTTTTTGTTTTTGTTTTTGTTTTTTAACTTTTTTTCTTTTTTTTTTTTTAAAGCTTAGGTTGGCTTCTTATCAATGGTGGCAAAAGCTGAATTATTCCCAGCGGTAGATTAAGTAGAATTAACAGGCAGCCATAATAGTGAGAGTTCCCAGACAGAAAATAGCAATACCAAGGCTTAGAGGCCTGAAGGCTCCCTGATTCTGTCCAAACTAACTGGTCATTGGGATTTCCATTCACTGAGGTATGACAAGCAGAATCAGGGCAGATTTCTTAACAGAAGGAGGGCAGGAGATGGAAGTCCAATTTAAATATCTGCAGAGCAAAGGAAACAATTGACAAAACTGAGAGCCAGCCTATGGACTGGGAGAAGATATTTGCAAACGACACGTCATGTAAAGAGTTAGTACCCAGAATCTATAAACAACTTATCAAACTCAACACCCCCAAAAAAAAAAAAATCCAGTTAAGAAATGGGCAGAAGACATGAATAGACACTTTTCCAAAGACAATATCCAGATGGCTAACAGACACATTAAAAGATGCTCAACATCACACATCATCAGGGAAATACAAATCAAAATCACAATGAGATACCATCTCACACCTGTCAGAATGGCTAAAATTAACAAGTGAGGAAACAACAGATGTTGGCGAGGATGGTGGAGAAAGGGGAACCCTCTTGCACTGTTGGGAATGCAAGCTGGTACAGCCCCTCTGGAAAACAGTATGGAGATTCCTCGAGAAGTTAAAAATAGAGCTATGCTATGACCCAGAATTTCACTGTGAGATATTTATCCAAATAGTACAAAAATACTGATTTGAAGGGGCACATGCACCACAGTGTTTATATCAGTATCAAAAATGGGCAAATTATGGACAGAGCCCAAGTGTTCATCAACTATGAATGGATAAAGATGTGGGGGGTGGTATGTATTTAATGGAATATTATTCTGTGATCAAAAAGAATGAAATCTTGTCATTTGCAACAAGTGGATGGAACTTAGACTGTATTATGCTAAATGAAATAAGTCAGAGAAAGACAAATACATGATTTCACTCATATGTGGAGTTTAAGAAACAAAACATGAATATGGGGAGGGGAAGGAAAGGAAAAATAAAATAAGATGAAAACAGAGAGGGAAGCAAACCATAAGACACTCTTAAGTATAGAGAACAAACTGTGGGTTGTTGGAGGTGATGTGGGTGGGGTGATGGGTATTAAGAAGGACACTTGTTGGAATGAGCACTGGGTATTCTATGTGAGTGATGAATCACAAAATTTTATTTCTGAAATCAATACTACACTATATGTTAACTAACTTGATGTGTGCTTGCATTGTTTTGTTATGTCTAAGTGGAAACCTTTTGGTAATGAATGAGATCATCCAGGTTCTGTTGTAGAAAGAGAAGAGGACTAAGAATAGAACTTTTCAAAATCAGCCATTAGAGTGTTTTGAAGAAAAGGGATTAGGGAAGGGAAAAGAAAAGAGATCCAACAATTAGACCATAGACCAGAGTACGAGGGCAGAGAGAGTAGTCAGTAATGTCTGGCAGAGATCATGGAAAATGGGGACTGAACATAGTCCATTGGTTTTGATAATAGGATAGAAGTCAGTGGTATTGTACAAAAGAACCAGGTTAGTATCTGTCGACAACATTCTGACTTGATAGGGAGTGACTTGTGATCAACAGTGGGGCTAACTCAGGGGTAAGCTAATTGAGGGAGGCTTTTTGGGAACTGTTCAGCTGATGTGGAGGGGTCTGAGTTGTCAAATTTGAGGTTTCAAAACTGGAAGTTCAGAGGATTTTTTTTTCCCATTCTGTTCATTTCTTACAGTAAACATTACTTAATATTTTGTGTGATTCTTAATAAATTTTAAAATATTTGCTGATTGCATGTATGTTGCTTTTGGACTGTAATCAGATATAAAGTATGAGCTACCTGCAGTAAAATTCTAAGTGTTTATAGATAGATAAACAGTAGCTAATTTATTCAAACCATTAATTTATATGGATAAACTTATTATGTGTAGGTATGTTTATTTTGTTTCCGTTGTCTTCTGCATGCTTTGAGAATTATTTTCATTTAGTGAGAAAGTCTTGGTATGTGAGTATGTGTGAGTGTGTGTGTGTTCCTAGAAGTTTAAGAAATATTAATTGGAGGAAGAAGTGTATCTTTCTCTTTGCTTAGATAGGTAACACTTCATTTGTCTTATCAGTCATGTGATCTTGTTCAGTGCTATGGGAAGAAGTCAGATAAATGATATAAAAATAACTCCAGCACTTTAATACACAAGAAGCATTTTTTGTCTTATTTTTAAAGGGTTAGAAATATATATTTCTGAGTGGTATTGGCAGGTCATGGCAAAGTTTAGCTTGTTTAATATCACCGTATTTAAATGCTAGAATGTCATTTGTCTCCAGACTTTCCACTGAAAAATCAGCAATGTCTACGTTTATTGTCACCAAAACCCTCTAAGCTCATGTATTTGTTGTTGGTAACCCATCCCTTATGTTTGTATAGCAGTTTTTTTTTTTTAATATTTTATTTATTCATTTGACAGAGATTACAAGTAGACAGAGAGGCAGACAGAGAGAGAGAGGGAGGGGGAAGCAGGCTCTCTGCTGAGCAGAGAGCCCGATGCGGGGCTCGATCCCAGAACGCCGAGATCATGACCTGAGCCGAAGGCAGAGGCTTTAACCCACTGAGCCACCCAGGCGCCCCTGTGTAGCAGTTTTGGAGGAAACGAGGATAAGAAGGGTCTCAAATGAATTGTGAAATTTTATTCTTTGCTTTAAAAATAAATACTTCAGGGGCGCCTGGATGACTCAGTGGGTTAAAGCCTCTGCCTTCGGCTCAGGTCATGATACCAGGGTCCTAGGATTGAGCCCCACATCGGGCTCTCTGCTCGGCAGGGAGCCTGCCTCCCCTTCTCTCTCTGCCTGCCTCTCTGCCTACTTGTGATTTTTGTCTGTCAAATAAATAAATCTTTAAAATAAATAAATAAATAAATAAATAAATAAATAATAAATACTTTATAAGGGGAGAAATAAATATATCTTATCCTGTATAATAAAAATTTTAGGGGCGCCCGGGTGGCTCAGTTGGGTAAGTGACTGCCTTTGGCTCCAGTCATGATCCCAGGGTGCTGGGATCGAGCCCCACATCAGACTCCTTGCTCAGCGGGGAGCCTGCTTCCCCTCTCCCTCTACCAGCTACTCTGCCTGCTTGGGCGCTCTCTCTCTCTCTGTCAAATAAATAAAATTTAAAAAAAAATTTTTTTAAAGATGCCTAATTTGGTATCAAATACGTCACTAGCCAGGAACTTCTGCATAGATGTTTGATGTACCAGAGGAGTCCTGGAGCAACAGAAGGTGGTAACCTTTCACTGAGGGCTGCTCTGAACAGTTTTGTATGTTTACAGTTACAATTGTTCATTCCCGTCTTTTTTTCCAGCCGCTATTTAAATAAGGCTTTTCATATCTGGTCCAAGAAAGAGAAATTCTCATCCAGTTTTATAAACAATGTGATATCCTACACTGGCACAGAACATTCTGCACCAGCCTGGATGCTGCTCGCCGAGATTGCTTGCTCATCCCCCAAGCTGGACTACACCAAAATAATAGAGTCTTGGGAGAAAATCAGCAGGTTTGCATGCTTATACTGTAGTTGCTGAAGATTCTTGTAAACAAAGCTTATGTCTTAAGGAAGTGGGCTCTTTGGGGCGCCCGGGTGGCTAAGCATCTGTCTGCCTTCAGCTCTGGTCATGATCCTGGGTTCCTAGGATCGAGCCCCACATCAGGCTCCCTGCTCTGCAGGAAGCCTGTTCTCCCTGTCCCACTCCCCCTGCTTATATTCTCTCTCTCGCTGTATCTCTCTCTGTGAAAAAAATAAATCTTTAAAAAGAAAAAAAGGAAGTGGGCTATTTCATAGATCTTGTCTTTATATTCTGGAATAAAAACAAACATGAAGATAATAAGTTTTAAGCTTTCAGTTTACCCTTTGTCCCAGTAATTTAAGTGCCTTAATGCTCCTACAACTTGACTCCTAAACTATGCTACCCTACATTCCTCCAGTATTAACAATCTGGAGACTATTTTGTTGGCAGCAGAGTTTATTTTGGCTCTATATTGATATTCTTTATGTCATTTTCCTAGTCAACAGAATCCCAATTCAAACACCTTAGGACATATTCTGTGTGTTATTGGGCATATTGCGAAGCATCTTCCTAAGAGCACCCGGGACAAGGTGACCGGTGAGTGTCTGTTGGAAAATCTTGCAAAGGCTTTGCTTCTCACTTTATATATGTTTTAAGCAGTTAAATTTGAAAGGTTTTGACATTCTTTTTAGATGTGGTCAAGTGTAAGCTGAATGGATTCCAGTGGTCTCTAGAGTTGATCAGCTCAGCTGTTGATACTTTACAAAGACTCTGTAGAGCATCTGCAGAGACACCTATGGAAGAACAGGTAGGCTACAAACTCTTCCTGGATATGTTTGTTATTTATTTGTACTTAGACATATTACTCTGTTTTGAAGTTTGAAAAGTGTTCTCTTTGGAGAACCTACAGGAATGGGTAGTCTCCAGCAGCTGATACTACAAGGAAATTCTTATGTGACAAGTAGTTGACATTCCCTGAGAAGATCTTGGCTACTAATGACCCAGGGTTCCCTCAGGAAGTCACCATTTTGGTTCTAGGTACAGGTGTCTTCTAGGAAATGATTTCTGATCATTTGAGAGGTCATACTCCTGGGAAATACCTGTTCTGTTACTATAAGCCTATATTACTCTAATATCTCTTCCTGTATCACGTCCCCAAAGCTGGTCAGAGCCTACAGCTCATGTTTTCGGTAGACATACACACAAATCCAAACCAGGGTTTCTCATGAGACAGAGCCATTACTTTCTCTAATATTCGTATCAGTTTCTCTAGTAAGTTATTTTATTACCATGTATTCTGTTTTTGTCATGAAATATACTCCTAGACAATGCTAATCATAATGAAAAATTTTAGGACTAAGGTTATTAATAATGATTCTAGAAGTGAAAATTTAATTTAAATAACTGCTGGAATATTTTTAAGTTTCCCAGAATAAAAATATTTTTGCTTCATTCAGCTACATTCCTATGCTTCCTTTTCTTATATAAGTTCCTTAAAGAAAGTCCTTCCTTGATAAGTTACATCTTCTATTTGTAGCAACAGATATAATAAGAAAGTATATTATAACTTTTTTTTTCCTTAGGACTGAAAACAGGTTGAAATGTACTTAACTAAAAATGCCCTGTTCTTTCCATGTAAATGGTGTCTGGTGTTTTCCTGGAGTGTACCTTTTGGCTCATCTGGTGAAAGGGATACTTGCTTTGTTTGATTTTTCTGTTTATCTCTTCATCCAAGAAAAACTTTTAAATAGGGAACATTACCTAAGTAGGGAGCATATCTGAATAGCAGAAAACAGGTCGAAACAAAACAAAAAGCTGTTCATGAAGAAAGAATGATGTAGGAAAAAGTGGGAGGAAATGTATATTTCTCAGATTATGAAACTGTGATGTCATGATGGCATACCACTGATTAATGGCAGAGCCCTGCCTGGAACTAAGGCCTCTGACTGCTTTCCCAGTCTTTTTTTTCACCAGCACTTGCTGGGGGAAGAGTGATCTATAATACTGGAGGCGTTGGGGCCTTATGAAGCCACTGGCTGCTCACTAATGGCCCACAGTTGTTAGCACAGTAAGTTATATCATTATTAGAGTCTGTGAGGAAGACAGAGTTATTTTCACATTTAAAAACAGAACTAGAAGAGAGGTTACTACCACCATGGTTGTAGCTTTGTCAACACTATTTCCTAGTAGACAGTGCACCCTGAGATTTTCCAGAATCTTGGGATATTTTAAATTCGTTTAATCTGGTGTGTCCCCTAAACATACGTCTCTTTTCCTTTTCTCTGTAAATGAACATTCTATATTTTACTGAGAAAAATTGCCCAAAGCTCAACAGCATTCTATATGAAAAGACATAGGTCTTGGGGCATTGTTGCTATCTATAAGGGTGTTACCAGTTAATAGTGTTTTGTGGCAATCACTAGAAACAATCTGTGAGATTTTGGACTGTATTAATAGAAATAGTGTCTACAGTAAGAGGGGTGATTGTCCTCTTCTTTGTATTGGTAAAATCTAAGTTGGGGTGTTCTAATTTAACTTCAGTGGCAACTCCTTAGAGAAATGTTGATAAAATTGAATATATCAGTGGGAAAGCAATTTGGTGAGGCAATTGCAAAGCACATTGTATAAGGAACAGCTGAGGGACCTGGGTGTTTAGCTGGTGAAGAGAAGAATTATGTGGGATACACTGCCTAGCTAAGTTCAAATATATGAAGGACCTTAAAATGAAAAAAATTAGATTTATTTGGCATCACAGAAAACTGATTTGGACCAGTGAGTGGGAAATTGCAAGGAGACAAATATTGGCCAACTAAAGATAAAACATACTAAGGTCTGCCTAAAATGGAGGGACTTGCCTCAGAATACATCCTAAGTCATTGGATGTGTTCAGAGAGAAGCTAGACAACTTGACATGAGTCCCTCCCTATGTGGAGAGAATCCCAGGATTAGATGGGCATAACGGTTCTTTCCCAGATTCTGTGATTACAGAAGTTCTAGTTCAACTATCCAGCCCAGTTCTAGGCTTGAGGTCTCACACAAGTTGACCTTTTTCTTCTTGCCAGGATAGAGCATACAGATTTCAGAAGTTCTCTTGGACAGCATTATAGCCCAAGCTGTGCAATCTATTAAAATAAGTACAGTAATTCCATAAAAAGTAATAAAGATAGTCATTTTGAAATGTTTTAGGCTATGTCAAACTAAAAAACATGTGGATCACAGTCATAGTGGCTGCAGTATGGTAAACATTGAGCACCGTTTTGTTGTAGTGCTGCTGGGCACTGGGGTGATGGTTAAAACAGAGTCCCTTCCTAAGGCACCCACAATATAACAGGGAAAATGCACATGGAAACAGGTGATTTCAACATGTACTATAATCATTTCTGGGGCTTCTGGGTGGCTCAGTCAGTTGAGCATCCCAACTTTTGATTTCATTTCATGTCACGATCTCAGGGCTGTGGGATCAAGTCCCAGCTTGGGCTCTGCACTCAGTGCAGGGTCTACTCCTCCCTCTTCCTCTCCCTCTGTCCACTCCCTACCCCCTCTTGCTCTCTGTCAAATAAATAAAAATCTTTAAAAAATAATAATAGTAATATAATCATTCCTAAAATTGAAACGTGCATAGGATAACATGGAAATCTTGGAGTGGAGCCTCTTAGCTAAACTTAGGTGTTTTGGGACTGGCCTCCTAGAGAAAATGTAGTCAAAGAGCTACAGAATGTGACTGAGCTCTCTCAGCTGGCGTGAAAGTGTTGTATACTAGAGATGGCGACCACTTGAGGTTATTTTAACTAACAAGAGATGGGAAACTTGTCTTTAATGAATACATTCAAAATGATAACAACTGTTCTTTTTTATTCTTTGTTTTTTAAAGTATACTATTTGTTATAGGAGTTAATTTGCCATCTACATATGCTAGAAGAATTGTGATTTTTTTTCTTTTTTTTTTAAAGAGTTTACTGAGAGAGAGTGAGAGAGAGAGCATGAGAGGGGAGAGGGTCAGAGGGAGAAGCAGACTCCCCACTAAGCAGGGAGCCCGATGCGGAACTTGATCCTGAGACTCCAGGATCATGACCTGAGCTGAAGGCAGTTGCTTAACCAACTGAACCACCCAGGTTCCCAGTGTTTTTCTCTATTAATGGAAGAGCACCGCTATTATAGATTTCTTATCAGGGCACTAGATCTTCCCAGATATTTGCTTTTTGCTCTTAAAGGGCACATGGAAAAAGAAAGGGGTGTGTGTGTGTATTCTATGTGTTTATACACACACCTATGAGATATATATATATAGATGTCTATATATGTATCTATATATATATATATACTGTACATCTATCTATTTATCTATCTATCTATCTATATATATATATACTATTCTTTGTGAATTCTGCTTAGTTCTTCTAGCCAGATTGCTAAAAAGAGCAAAGATTCGAAAGCATGATGGCTAGAATTTCTCATGGTTTATGCCTTTGAAGACCATAGAGTTTCTTCTGAGAAAATTGTTTCATGGATAGTCTTGTAGATGTATGGAATCCTTCAGAGATTACCTTTGACTTGCCACAGGAACTACTGAAACAGGTGTGTGGGGATATCCTCTCCACCTGTGTGCAGTCACTCTCTGACATAGTTCTGAAGCAAAGTGGACCCAGGAATATGGATGAAGACCTATTTGTAAGTAATTACTTTTCTCAGACATTCCTTTCCTTTACATTGGTCAGGATTTTCTAAAAATGACTTTCTAATGTGCATTTCTAATGCTATTAGCAAGTAAAGGATTTTCCGAGCCTAGACCTTACTTACTTTTTTTTAGAAAAATTTTTGTGTTGGTGGCCTCTTCATTTTTCTCTCATGTACCTATTATCTGGGGAAAAACTGGTTGGGATATGCTTCATCCAGCTAGAGCCTGTGAGGTACCTGATCCAACAGGGAAAACACAGTATGTACTGAAATAATAAGGTAAGAAAGTAATAAAGGGAGTATGCTCTTTGTTCTTTTGGCTTATTTGTTTGGTGTGTATTTAAATTATAATGTGTCTGCTAAGCTGTTTGAGTATCAGACTGTAGAACTAGGGAATAGTGCTGAGCAGTTCTGAAGCTTTGTAATACAGAGGAGTGTTTGAAAATTGAAAATACAAGTAACCTTGGAGCAGCAAGACTGTATGACATGGCAACCCAAATTGTGTTCGTGCAGTGAATTTCTGTGGGCCAGTAAATGTGGAGCCAGTTTTGATTTGAGTGGCTGACCATCAACAAAACATGCTGTAGTAATTCTGACTGCCAACATCTGACACTTGGGAAAGAAAACTTTTTGATGCCCTTCAGTAGAGGCCAGCATTTCACCAGAATTGGCCATTTTTCTCATCTATTTGAAAACTAGTAGAGCTTTCCTCTTTGCCACCTCACACTTGTACCTAGAAACTGAAGACCATGTTTAGATTTGTGAGAAGAGACCATTTGTGCTGAGGTATTAATATACAACTTTAGTAATAAAAATAATATCATTAGGAATCCAGACATTTCAGTTCAGAGGGCTTTGATGTGTAATATGGCCCTGTCCCAGGGTTTCTAGGGGGTCTCACGCCTCTAATTTGTCTGAGCAGTCACTGCCCAAACTAAGAAAAATGCTTATTATGACCAGTGAGTTTTTCCCTCTAAATTTTTTTCCAACTATTAAATATGTCATCAAAATCTTCCCTTCAGTCAAAATATATATGGAGATGTTTTGCCCTGTATCATATTGTTTACGTCACTCTTCTTTAAATAGAATTGAAATATTCCTTTAATCACTAAGATGTTTATGTTCAGCATTTTTTAAATATACATACTTTTGATTTTGGTTCAGATCGTGATCTCAGGGTCATGAGATCAAGCCCCACATTGGGCTCTGCTCTGGGCAGAGTCTGCTTAACGTTCTCTCTCTCCCTCTGTCCCTCGCCCTGCTTGCACACACACATTCTCTAAAATAAGTAAGTAAATCTTAAAAAAATAATAATAAACCTTTTACATTTTACTATTTAGCCTCACCCCTGCATTTTTAGGATGAAAAAAAGCAGTGTTATTAATTATCAAGTTGAATGTCTTCATAAACACAGCAGCTGTGAGGAAGACAGAAGTTACAAGTTTTTGATAGGAGTCTAAATAGTAAACCAATCAGGCAGACAGTTTGGAAATATGTTTTAAAATGTAAAACAGTTTTATGCCCCTTAACTCTGGATTATTTCTAAGGAAGTAAAACAGTGTTTACAGGTACAAAGGTATTCTTCAGAAGGAAAGCAAATAATAGTAAAGGATTAGAAATAGTGTAAATGTTTGCTAGTAGTGAAGTAAATTATGATATCAATAGTTCTTAACATACTTATATAGTCATTAAACATTTATTATACATATATAATATATGTGTGTGTGTATATATATATATATATATATATATATATATATAGTTGGGTGATTTTACCATTTAGTGACTGAATTTTTACAGTGGCTGTATGTTTCTATGGAAAAAAAAATAGTTAATTTGGGGTACAAAAAAAATTGACATGTCTTGAGCTACAGTTAATTTTTCTTTTGCCTTATTTATACTGCAAAACCAATTCTTTTTGCAGGTGAAGTACATTTTTACCTTAGGAGATATAGCCCAGCTTTGTCCAGCCCGAGTGGAGAAGCGAGCATTCCTTCTGATTCAGTCCATTCTAGCTTCTTCTGTTGATACAGATCATCGTAAGGCACTTGAAATTATCTTCTGCATGGCTGTCTTAAGGCACGGTTAGCCCCTGAGATACTATAAATAAGCCCTCTTTTCCTTCCTTGTAGCAACATCTTCTCAAGGTAGCAGTGAAGCCCCAGTCTTTCAGCCACTCTCCCCAGTCAGAAGCTGTGTCATGCCTTCCGTGATTAGAGCACATGCCATCATTACCTTGGGTAAGCAAGAATAACATGGGGAAAGTATTGCTTGTGCAGTCTAGTTCCATGAGTAGCTTTTTGTCCTAAATAAGGCAGCCTTAGTAATGTATTACATATGCTACACTCGTATTTACTCTAGCTCTTGTGAATTTGATAGGAGCTCCCACCTCAGAGGCATACCAGAGAGCTGATAATGAGAGCCCTTGGTTGGCAGCCGCCCAAGACAGTCAGATTCAAGACACCCCCTATAGGGAGCTTTTGGTTTTTATGTTAATTTATTACAATTATACCTGTTCCTGTTTTTGTTTTTTTAATACTCATAATGTGGCACCACGAAGTCTGTTCATCTGGAACTGTATGCCGGGTACTACACTGATTTCTGGGAATGAAAAAATTAATTTGCAGTTCAGTTCATAAAAGGAAATAGTTTATTTGATACCTACCAGGACTGGCAGATGAGCTAATTAATAAACATATTTCCCTATGGACTCAGATTGTTGTGAATCTCAAAAAGACTGACCTCTGTGCTGTGATTTTAGTTTTGTTTTAGTATGCTTGTTTATTTTATGCTGGATGAGATTTATGAATGTTTTTTGTAATAATGGTTATTTTTCAGAAATGTAAGAATTGTGAATAAGAGCAAAACATTCTCTGGGCTGCAAAAAAAAATACAAATAGGGGCACCTGGGTGGTGCAGTCAGTTAAGCTCCTGAGTTTGGCCGGGTCGTGATCTCAGGGTCCTGGGATCAAGCCCTCCCCATTCAGCAGGGAGTCTGCTTGCCCCTCTTCCCCTCTGCCTGCCTCTGCTCTTTCTCTCAAATAAAAAAACAAAATTTTTAAAAAAATATACAAACGAAACTCATTTACAGCTTTCCTTCTCCTAACCGTGAACAAGAAATAAAATGAGGTGGTCATTCTTTCCTATTTACCTAATTCAGATTTCAAATTCATTATTAAACTTTTTGGCTTCAGTGGAATATGTGTATAATCAAAATAAAATGTATCATCTTTTAGATTTTATTGGTCATTTTTCAGATGAGTAGATAATTTTGAAATTCATATTTTGACTTTAAAAGGAGAATAGTTTGGGTGCCTGGGTGGCTCAGTGGGTTAAGCCTCTTGCCTTCGGCTCAGGTCATGATCTCAGGGTCCTGGGATCGAGTCCTGCATTGGGCTCTCTGCTCAGCGGGGAGTCTCCTTCCTTCTCTCTCTGCCTGCCTCTCTGCCTACTTGTGATCTCTCTCTCTCTGTCAAAATAAATAAATAAAATCTTAAAAAAAAAAAAAGGAGAATAGTTTTACTCCAATGAAGGAACATCTCTTAGTTTATGTCTCATAAAACCCTGGAAGGGGTAGGGGGATATTATTTTTTTAGGTGTTTTGAACGTCCTTATATTTAGTAGTATGAGTTTGCCTGCCTTTGACCTTTTGTTTGTGATTGTTGGCATGATATTTTAACTTTGATCAAGTAAAATATATATTTTAGCAAGCTATATCTGGAGAAAATGTAGGCATAGGATTAGAGTTAAGACATCTTAATCTCTTCTGTGACAGGTAAGTTATGCTTACAGCATGAGGATCTTGCAAAGAAGAGCATCCCGGCCCTTGTGCGAGAGCTGGAAGTGTGTGATGATGTGGCTGTTCGCAACAATGTTGTCATCGTCATGTGTGATCTTTGTATCCGGTACACTGTCATGGTGGACAAGTACATTCCCAATATCTCCATGTGTCTGAAGGATTCAAATCCATTCATCCGAAAGCAAACACTCATCTTGCTTACGAATCTCTTGCAGGTATGTCTGAGAACAGGACCTGTCATATTTTTCCTTCCACTATTTCTTTCAGGGAATATTTGAGTAACATAGGAAATGTGCTGCTCTGTAGTAGAATCCAAAAATAATCAGCCTTGGCTCTAGTTTAAAATATCACTCTTCTGATGTTCTGTACAGGCTTTTAAACAGATCGTTACTTCCTAATGTTTATTTTGGGTGTTTGTTCAGATATTCTGTCAACCAATGTGAGGTTTCATTTTTGTGAATAAATTCCATGTAGAGAAGAACACACTCAGTGGATGAGTACTTCTAGTTCCGATCCTGTCATTCTCCTTAACTTTGAACAAAGTCAGTGTTTCTCGACATAATTTCTTTTGTGAAATGAGGATCATGTTTGCCTTGGCTATCTCAGAGTTGCTCTGAGAGTCTAATGAGACATTTTAGTATGCGAAAGAACTTGGTGAACTCTAAACTTAGTGAACAGAGCACTCAATATTTTTCTTGCTATCAAGAACATATGTTTAGCCTAAAGTGAAGGAGAAATAATAATTGATTTTTAAAAAGAAGGCATTTAACTAAGATGTATGTCTATTCTTGTATGTTCTATATACTTACTTTTTCATATGGTTAGATACCTGACGAAGGCACCATTGGCACTCTCCCTTTTAAAGCTATGTGCTTTGAGTCATTTTCCTAATAGAGTAGATATGATGCTGTTCTACTCAAATATCCCTCCACTTCTCTTTGTGATTAACAAATACACATGCTTTCAAGATGGTCGGAAAGTGAGTGCTAACAGACTGTGCTAATGTGCCACAGACAAAGTAGCTGACAGGTGTGATGTTAAACAAAAGAAAGTTAACAGTTGGTTTTATGACTGAATTTAGGATTTGTATATTAAAATTCATCCTTAAATAAGCTGGTTTCTCTTTATACAGGAAGAATTTGTGAAATGGAAGGGCTCTCTGTTCTTCAGATTTGTCAGCACTCTGATAGATTCACACCCAGACATTGCCAGGTAACTCTTTCCTCACATGTCAGAAAACTGAATGATTTACCTAATTTCTGGTGTATATTAGCTCTTTTCTTTAAAACTGGTTTAGAGCTGAGTTATTTAGAATTTAGTGAGCTTTTGGCAGTTGCCAGAGAATTAGCAGATTTGTAAGCTATATAACAAAGCTTTATTTTGCATATGTTTAAAAAAAATCCCTCATCCAATTTGACCGTTAAATAATCTCAGCACTGACGACATTTGCTAACATTGTTGACTCTCCCTAAAGGAGTAACGAAGAGCAGTATATGAGTTTGTCATAGTAAATTATACGGAATTGTAGCCATTAACTGTTGACTTAACTATGTTGATTTCTAGGTCAATAAAATGCCAATTTTGATAGAGTTCATGCTTTTTAAAAGTACAGAACTTGTAAGGAAGATATTCTAGGAATTTTAAGATAATCATGCATGTGAAATGAGAGTCTGTAAATTACAAGGCTTCTTGGAAATGGGTGTCTCTTGAGAATTGTTAATTCCTATCATTCTATGTTTTTGAGGATTGTTTTCAGGAGGTTGAGGAATGACCTTAATAGAATTTGTTAACCTTGATTATGTTGCATGAATAATTCTTTTTGGAGCAGTTCTACAATTGGAAAATAGAATGTTGAATGCCATGGCAAAAGCTATCGTAGTTGGGAAAAGGTATTTATAGAGTTCATTAGCTATAAATAGCTTATAATAGTGGTTCTAAATATGGTCACCTGTGATTTACTCTGACTTCCATGGAAGAATTTCTGTTCGGTTTTCTTTGGGTATAATTTTCCAAGGAGGAATATTTCACATAATAAACTAGTAGAAGGTTAACATTCTAATTAATGCTATCTAGAGTCAGAAATAAAAAGCTGAGACTATTACTTTTTCTTTGTTTATATAATTGAGAAAGACCCAAAATAACGATGTAATGCCCTCTTACCTTTACTGTGCTACCATAAGACTGGCTCTCCTGGCTCTCTCCTCTCTACAATGTATAGCCCAGAGGCAACTATAATTAGAAGTGTTGAGAGGCTTTCATGTGATGAGCCGGTGAGGTGAGACCTACCCTTCTAGGTTTACTCCCTTTTCTCAGCCTTGTTACATGTATGTGAACAAGAGCATTGGTCAGTATGTAACATAAACAGAGCCCATTATAGAGGTGATCAGAGTGGTTCAGTTGGTTAAAGAGCTACCTTGGCTCAGGTCATGATCTCAGGGTCCTGGACTTGAGCCCCACATTGAGCTCCCTGCTCAGTGGAGAGCCTGCTTCTCCCTCTGCCTGCTGCTCCCCCTGCTTGTGCTCTCTCTTTGTCTCGGTCAAATGAGTAAATGAAATCTTAAAAAAAAAAAGTGATCAGAGCATGAATCAGAAAGAAATTAGAAGGATAGATAGGGGGGCGCCTGGGTGGCTCAGTGGGTTAAAGCCTCTGCCTTCGGCTCACATCATGATCCCAGGGTCCTGGGATCGAGCCCCACATCGGGCTCTCTGCTCAGCAGGGAGCCTGCTTCCCCCTCTCTCTCTGCCTGCCTCTCTGCCTACTTGTGATCTCTGTCTGTCAAGTAAATAAATGAAATCTTAAAAAAAAAAAAAGAAGGATAGATAGGTATTTACACTATAGTAAGATTATCAATGCAGTATTCTGATACTTTCCTTTTAAATCTTTCCATTGTATCTCCATATTCTGTGTTTGTTTAAACCATGTGGCTTAAATGTGGGCCCTCATTTTCAGCTTTGATAAGCTAATGATTACCTTTATTAACTGTAATTTTAAATTAGTCTGCTCCCTTATTTTTAGGTCAGGCCTATCTGCTTGCATGAAACACATTAATATTTCCATACATGTCTGCTAATACAGTCTTCTAAAGACTATAGTGGCACAGCCTGATGCATTTATTTCTGGCCTAGGTGGATTTCCTGAAGATTCTTGCATGAGCAAATTTGAGCGACATTTTTAATTGGTCATATACACCCACTAAAGTTTAGGGTCTGCAAAATTGTATGATGTATGATGTATCCAGCTTTCCATACAGATGTTGCTGCCTATTGTGTTGCCTTCTCTAAGGTTAGGAGCTCTCAACTGTGCCTAACCTCTCCCTTGCTCTCTTTGAATTGCTCCTCCCTCAAGATGCTCTCCCCCTTCCCCAAAGAAGGAGCCACAGAATCCTGAGATGAATGTGCCCTAACCTCCCCATATGTGCCCTGGCCTTGTGCATCCGCTGACTGACTCAGCACCCCCTTCCCCAGGTTCCTGGGGAGCCTTTCCTATGACCATTAACATCAATAAAACCTCCTGTCTGCAGTGGAAAGAAAAAAAAATTCCCTCTGCCCACTAGGTGGTGTCCTTGTAGTACAGCAGTCAAGAGGTGATAGGTAAAAAGTGGGTTGTTTGGGCTTACCTGGGCAAATGCCACAGAAGTGTCACAAGGCAGGGCCAGAGAGGTTCAAGGCAAAAGAGTAACTAAGATAGTAGTAATTGAGTCAGTAAAGAAAGTGAAGACGGACTGGTTGGAAGAAGAGGAAGCAATTGAGCATGTCAAGGGGTTAGTGAAGTTGTAGAACAAATGCGATAGGAAGAGGGGGTGTCAGAAAGCTGGAAGGATGTGTGTGGTCATGAAGTAGATTATCTTACATCAGAAGTGGGTGTTCTGGATGTAGTGACATGGTTCAGGATGGGGCTGCAGAGTAGCTACATAGAACATGCATGGGAGGGTCACTAGAGTTGATGAAATCAGAAAAATAGAAAGTTAGGGGTTAATTGAGGTTATCTATATGGACATTGGAGATTCTCTGAGAAATTGTCTAAGTCCATTCAGGCAACTATAGCAAAATACTGGGGGTACCTAGGTGGCTCAGTCTGTTAGGCATCTGCCTTCAGCTTGGTTGTGATCCCAGGATCCAGGGTCCCTGCTCACCAGGAAGCCTGCTTCTTTCTCTCCCTCTGCCTGCTGCTCCCTTTGCTGTGGTCTCTCTTTTTCTGTCAAATAAATAAATAAAATTTTTTAAAAAAAATACCACAGGGGCACCTGGGTGGCTCAGTGGGTTAAAGCCTCTGCCTTCGGCTCACGTCATGATCCCAGGGTCCTGGGATCGAGCCCCGCATCAGGATCTCTGCTCAGGAGAGAGCCTGCTTCCTTCTCTCTCTCTGCCTGCCTCTCTGCCTACTTGTGATCTCTGTCTGTCAAATAAATAAATAAAATCTTTAAAAAAATACCACAGACTGAGTAGCTTATAAACAACAGAAATTTCTTTCTTACAGTTTAGAAGTTAGAAGTCTGAAACCAGGTCGCCAGCATGATTGGGTTCTGGTGAATGAAGGTCGTCTTCCAGATAGCAGGCTTCTCGTTGTGTCTTCACATGGCAGAAGGGACAAGGGATCTTTCCAGGGCATCTTTTATAAGGACACTAATCTCATTCAGTAATCCCAAAGGCCCAGTCTTCTAATACTGTTTCCTTAGGGGCTAGGTTCTCAACATAGGAATGGGGTTGGTGGGGACACAAACATTCAGACCACAGAAGTGTTGTTGGGATTTGGAATGGAGAAAACTAGGAAGCAGTTACCAAGCAGTGAGAGACAAAATTTAGCCAGATCCTCAGTAGAGGAGGCTTCGTACTGTTATGTGGGCCAGGTGGAGGAATCCAGCCCTCCTTTCCTCCCAGGCTGTTTGAAACCTGGATTTGGATTCTTAGTAAGAGAGTAACAACCGTTTTGTAAAAGATTATTATGACTCAGATTTAGCTGGTTGTCTTTTTGTTTTCTGTATAATGTAATTAATGCTGTGTAAAATGTCTAGACAATATCCCTGAATTGGTGGTGTGATTATGTACGGTTCCTTTTAATTGTCCAGTTCCTTTCAGTTGTCCTGAGGGATGAGAAGAGGTGGGAAAGGAAGTTGAGTTCTTAGGAAGGTGTCTTTGGAAGTGTTAAAGTTTTCTGTTTTAGGTATCTGAAAAGTGTTGTCCTCTGCCACTCTAAAAGGAATGCTCCAGGAAACATTCCTTAGACTGTTCATTTATTTTAACTTTTCAGCTGACAAAAAAAATCCCAAATTCTCTCTCTTCCCCAGTTTATCAAGCTAGAAAGATCGGTAAGTGTAAGGCTGAAATGTGTCCTTTTAGTCCCAGTAAATGTAATAGCAAGACGAGTGCTGAATGTTATCCATTGACTCTGGTTTCTGGCTTCTCATGATGCAAAGCCCTTTAACTCTGCTTCCAGCCCTGAGCATGTGAATCTTTTGCATAATTTGTGTTACTCTTGGATTTATCTGTATACTTGGTTAAGCCAGTTACTCACTAGGGGGTAGACTGCAGTATCTTGCCCATCAGTTACCTTTACTGGTGTGTATTCTTGACCTAAATTCTGAGTAGATGAACATTGGACATCAAGTCTGAGCTCACAAATTGAAGCTCACAGTAGCCCCTCTTCTTGCAGAAGGGTACTGGATTCTGTCTAATCTTATTTTGACATGAATGATTTCAGAAACGAGAAAATGCAGGTAGTTGTAAGACTGCTATGCCATTGTAGGTTAACTGTAATAAAGGGAGGTAAAGTCTTGTTTCTAAGGAAATGGTTTTTGTTTACTTAATGATTTTCTCCACTCTTGGTCACAGATAGCTTACCAGAGTAACCCTTGTTTAGAAAGAACTTCACCTGATGCTGTGACCTTGTTTGCCCTTCAGCTGGGTCTACAAAACAGTAGTTTGTGTAGAACATACCAGTTGCTCCTAGATCAGCAGGGGCATCTAGCTGGCCTTATATGAACTTCTCCTAAGGGAATTCCCTTTACAAAATAGAGTTTCGTTGGTTTTGTGTTAGGCTGCTCCCTTATCTCCTAGATAAGTGGTCAGAGTGCCGCTTTTTGCAGTGGAGCTTTTTCCTAGGTTTACTTCAGTCAAGTTTCCAGAACTACCTACTCTGAGTCGTAATCAATGTGTATTCTTTGATTACAAAGTGATTTTAATATTAGCCTCAGGAGGACCATTAGGGGAAGGTGACTCTCCCGCAAGTCCTGTGCTTCCGAAAGCCAAGAATCACTTTGGGTTATCCTCGTCATTGCTCCTCCCTCCTTGAGAGCTAACTGGTGCCCCTGTGTCGGTGGAAATTGGATTTAACTCTGAAATGAAATTAAAACATTGGTCTAGACAGTATAAATGGATCAGAGCCAGCCCTGCTGGCTGTGTATTCTTGACCTAAATTCTGAGTAGAATTCACTACCCCGTGCTGACCCCTGAGCAAACGCTCATGCCTTGGCTTTCTCTCCCCTACTAGATAAACTGTCTAGGGCCTGCAGTTGGCTTTTGTCCATATACATTTGGCTTTGGAAACCACTAGTGTTTTGCCATTCAGATCGGCACAGTGTTGGTGACATCTGTGTCTTATTGGGTGGCCTGGGATATTATGTGCATGTCAGATGCCTCTTCTAGGTTTGGGGCCACAGGAGAAAGGAGAGTGCCTGGGGCTTGCTGATGGGTCAAGGCTCAGTGAGAGTGCTTCACTGTCTGTGCTGACCCAAACTTTGAGGCTCTTATAACTAATCCCAGTTCTTGAAGAAGTCCCAATTACAAAAGTTGGTTTTTGTTCATTATTGTGGACAACACACCTCAAGCTGAAGTGGGGGAAGCCAAGTGTTCATTTTCAGGTGGTGGTTTGTTGCATCAGCTATAAGGACCACAGAATTCTACTTGAAGAGCAGTTTGGGGTCGGTTGGTTGTTTTCCTGCATTTGAAATATAGCTGAATAATAACACCTTGTTAGAATTTTGAAAGGAATCCAGGTAGAAAAAGCCTTTATGCTCTTGAGCAAGGACAGACAAAAGAAGCTAAATTTGTATCTTGCTTTTGGTCTGAATGAAGTTGTGTATTGGGATAGATTTTGTATCCCTTTCCCTTATTCATAGCTTCCCCCGGCACCTGTGTTTTTGGTGTAATTTGAGAGGCTGTCTGCAAACAGGAATTGGGTCTCTTTCTTTCTCTTTTCTCTCCTCTTCTCTATAGTTTTGGGGAGTTTTGCCTGGCTCACCTGTTACTGAAGAGGAACCCTGTCATGTTCTTCCAGCACTTCATTGAGTGTATCTTCCACTTTAATAACTACGAGAAGCATGAGAAGTATAACAAGTTTCCCCAGTCAGAGAGGTCAGTGGAGTTCTCTGGAAGGGCTGGCAAAACAATGGGAGGTGGGCAGCTGCTTTGTACAAGTGATGAGGCACAGACCCCGGCCCCAGCACTCTGTGTGGCAGGCCTGCCCTCTCTGGGCAAAGTAACCTGAGACAGTTTGCCCTGTGATAGTGTCCTGAGGGAAGTGCCTCCAGGAAGCACGGTCCTCTGATCTGTGCACTTACACCTTGGGTAGACAACTTTTAGGATGCTGCAAACTGCTGTTGAAATTGTACCCTTGTACCCTTGTCCATGTGATGTGGTAAAATTGTCCTGTTTCACCATAGAGAGAAGCGGCTGTTTTCACTGAAGGGAAAGACAAATAAGCAGAAACGAATGAAAATCTACAAATTTCTTCTGGAACACTTCACAGATGAACAGCGATTCAATATCACTTCTAAAATCTGTCTTAGTATTTTGGGTAGGCCTCATGTGTTTGGGATAAAATGTATATTTAAAAATGAAATGCCTTGTGGCTAATGGCTCAGCAGATCTGTAGCAAATGAGACCCTGATATTATGGGAAGACCCCGTTTTTTTCCTTCTTTGACATCAGCTGTGCCCATGCAGACCCCCCTCGAAGCCAAGATGGGCCCTCCTAGCTGTGTGGGATACCCTTCCCCCCTGGGGCTGGACTATTTCTCAGAAGCTGATCTTTTGTGCTCTTTTCTCAGCATCCTTTGCTGATGGCATCCTGCCCCTAGACATGGAAGCCAGTGAATTGCTCTCAGATACATTTGAGGTCCTCAGCTCAAAGGAGATCAAGCTTTTGGCCATGAGATCTAAAGCAGATAAGGACCTCCTTTTAGAAGAAGATGACACAGCATTGGCCAGTGCAGTCATGCAGGAAGCTCAGAAGAGGCTCATCTCACAAGTGAGTTGTCATTCCGTAAATGGGCCTGGTTATACTCCTGTGTTCCTCCGTCCACCCCTTGAGTCCTGGTGGTCTACCTCACTTTTATTCTCAGCCATGTCCTTAACACTTACCCTAGTGATGATGATTCTGCTTCTGTTTCTAGCTCTACCTTCTCTCATGGCCTGAGCCCATCCCATTTGTCTGCTTGGATGTGCCACAGGCATCTCAGACTTCCTCTGTCAAAACTGAGTTACTCCTCTTTTCTTCTTCCTCTTTGTCTCTTCTCTCACTGTCTTTATTGTGGGGAAACAAACCATTATCTACCAAGTTGTAACCCACTACCACCCCAGTCTGGAGTCTGGCATGCCAAGTGCATGCTTCCTTTGGCCAGAGTATCCAAATTGGGATCAGACTAATTTAGAATGGCACTTAATGGCCATAGTCCTCACCAGGGTCCAGTTCTTAAACTAGCCTTGATCACTAGGTTGTATTTCCCACTTGAGTCCTGAGAGCTTTGGACCCTAAAGAAATAGACCTTGATGCCATCCAGTGTGTCCCTAGATGCTGTCCATTTTATCTCACAAACCCATCTCTCTTACCCATTCTTCACTTATTTAAATTGGTGCCGTTCCCGGTGGTTTCCTCACTCAACACCCTTTGTGTCTCTAGTTTCTTTCTGGTTCAGGCTGTGTACCACCTTGCTGCCCCAGCAGTTTTTCTTAAGGACAAATTTGATCATTTTATTCTCCTGCTTAAAAGAGACTAGAGGAAGATTGGCTGCAGAGGGCAGCAGGGAACTTTCAGAGTGATGGATTACAGGTGATTACGCGGATTGTGGTATTGGTTACTCACTCTATACTGTTGTCAAATGCATCAAACTGTTCACTTAACATGGGTAAATTTTATTGCATATAATTTATACCTCACCACTGCTACCTTTAGTCTGTAGTTTAGTGGCTTCCTATCATCTTCTGAATAAAATCCTTATTATTCTCCCAGGCACATGGAACTCTTGGGTATCCATACTGCCCCTGCGCCTCCCGTCTCCATGCTCCCCTCCCTGACCCCTCCATTCCAGGCCCCTGTTGGTTCCTCAAGTGGGAGGTGTGTGCTCCTGCTGTTTGCCTTTGCACACTGTCTGCCCGCCCGCAGGGCCTCTCCCACCCTGTCCTCATTTCCTGCTGCCACATTCCTACATCTTTTCAAAAGATTCACCTGCCTACGTAGGCATCCCTCTTTTGTAAGTTGCTCACCATCCTGCCACTTGTCACACCATGTCATACATCATAGCACACAGCCTGGTCTAGAAGTAGCTTGAAGGCAAGAATTCTTGGCTTCATGTTTACATCCCCACAGGTTAACTTTGTGTCTGGTACAAAGAAGGCATTTGATAATATTTATTGAGTTGAATGCATTTAAACCACATTTTAAGGCCATCCCTATACTTACCATCTGCTCAGACTCATATTTATTAAAGTGTTTATTTCTCTACCGATTGAACTTCTATTTCAGGAACTGATAAGCCTTTTTAGAAATGGTGATTTACAAGCAAGGAACATATACTAGTGACTTTAAATAAGAAGAAAAAGAATACTTTCCAAATCCAGAAGGATAAATCTTTCTACATATGTTGGCTACTATAATGATTATTTTTAATTCTAAGAGATTTATTAGAAGATACCTATGGTTTGTGATGATTCATGGTAAGAATATGAAGGCATGGTCAAATCAGGTACTATATAAATACATAAACCTTTTCTAAATGTGTGCGAAGTTATACACACAAAAAGAGAGAAATATAACACTGACTCTTTCATGCTTAGACATTCTCAACCATTTGTCATTTCACAGCAGGAATACAAAATGTCCCTTTTGAGTAGCCAGAAGTGAACTCATTTTTATTCCAAAGGGAGGATGCCGAGTAGAAGAATTGACTGGATCCAAGATGGGTTTGTGTAGAGGTTTAGGGCTTATTGTCAAGTTATTCATCCTATTTCTAATTCCTGTTTCTTGTTTAGAAAATAAGAATAGCATTTGCCCCCTTCCTACTTCACAAAGCCTTCTGAGTATTTTGAGGTAATGCTTATAAAGTCTCCAGGACAAAGGTGCTAGAGTTCCCAGCATCATAATAAAAGATAAACAAGAAGCCTTTGTAGTACTATATAGCTCGGCCATGCAGAAGGAGCTAGGTGGAGAAGCCTTTGTCTCAGAACTTTATCCATCTAAAACATGCCTTTGTTTGTGTTACTACAGGTTCAGAAGAAGAATTTTATAGAAAATATTATTCCAATAATCATCTCCCTGAAGACTGTACTAGAGAAAAATAAGATCCCAGCTTTGCGGGAACTCATGACCTATCTCAGGGTAAAAGATGACTTTGTGCTTTGTGGACTCTGTCTCCTGCCTCTAGCTCATTACTCAGGATCTGACACAGTTATGATGGTGTAGTTGGTCAGTGAACACAGGAACTCAGAATGCTACAAAACCAGAATTAGACCAGCCAAACAGGCCTTTGACTGTTGGGGAGAACAGAGAGAGTGTTTGACCATAGGTTCCACAGAAGCTGGTTCTTGCCTTTTTCATGCTGTTGAGTTTATGAAGGGCTGACTCACTGTGCTGAGTCTGTGTGTCCTTGATGCCAGTGTGGAGATTCAGTTTTGAAGGCTTTCTCAACTGGGGTCAAGTACAAAGCCTTCATCTTAGTCATTCTGGGGAGGGATAAAGTGAAATTGGGCATCATGTTCAGTTTGGGGATGTTTGCCTTTAACACTGCCTCCACATCAGGAAATAACAGTGGGTTTGGGGCGCACTGATGGGGGCTGGGCCACCATCACTGGTGGCATCCGAGGCCATGAAAAATGGTCTAAGCACTCAGAATATGTAGAACTGCTGTGTAGACATAAATGAGGCACCCCGACCTTTCTGGTAAAATTTTTCTATCAGAAATAAATGGAACTTTTTTTTTTCCTTTCTCTGTTTACACGATGCTATTTTCTTCCTCAAGAAATGCTAAAAAATTTTTTTTCAATAAGGGCTACAACCAAATTACATTTAATGTAAATTCTTCAAATAACTCTTTAAATTAAAGGAAGTTAAGGTAGGAAAGATAGGCTCATTGTGTGGATAAAATGAGAACTTCCAGTCATTCTTATGCTTTTATTGCCCTGACTGTTTTAAAGCTCTGAGAGGGAAAAAAAGAGTTTAGATCCTCAATAAACTACTTAAAGGCTTATGAACAATAAGTATCCCCTGTTTCTGAGCACATGCCCAGAGGATGGCCACACAGTTGCCTTATTTGAGCAGCACAGTGCTCGTGCATTGGCAGCCTTCTGTGAAAGCAGCTCCAGCCGTCCTCTCCCCCAGCCTGTGCAGCCCTCTCTTCATGGTACCTGGAAGTGTTCATAGATTTCCTACCTTTTGTTAGGACTTCCCTTGCAGGTAGGGCTGCGATAAATCTTCTCCCTCTGATACTGTTAGATGAAATGGTTTCTTCCTCTTAGCAAAAAGGCCTGGTCCCTGGCATCTCCCTGTAAGGCCTGAGAATGTTCTTAGCCTTGTATGATGAAAGCTCTTCTGTCTATCTTCAGAGGAAGACAGAACAATGGGATTAGAGCTAGAGTTGCAGTCCTCTGAGAAAGCTAGTGTAGACAGATGAGCACAGCTTCCTGTAACTTGCTTCAGAGGTCCTGTCAGAGCCAGGACAGTGCCATAGATCACCTGCCCATCTAACCTCTGACTTGAATTGCTAAAGGACCTGCCTCAGTGACACTACAGAAGCCTTTAAACTGGTAGTGACCCAGAGCGAAGCCCAATCACCTAGCTACATCACTATCCCCATCCCTACTTTCAGGAATGGATAAGGCAGGTCTGTGCCCTTGTATAAGACCTGCTTTAGGCTCAGATTGTGTGATTCTGTTTTCTTTCTTCCTCATCAGGATCCTGGGAAACTGCCTGTTGAGTGGTGGTTAGACAGGACGCTCCCTAAGAGATAAGAACTGATAGTTAATCTCTCAAGTCATGCTTACTGGCTTCTGTGGTCAATACGAGTGTAATTGGCATTTCCCAGGACAATACCATCATGTTACTTAACTTGTTGGTTGATGTACTAGAAATAAGTCTGCTCTCAACAAAACACATCTTATTATTCCTGTTAATACTTATCAGGTTGTGTTGCAGAGCTTATGTATTTATTCAAGAAAACACTAAAAGATGCCTCTGGGTCTGTTTTAGGAGGTGATGCAGGATTACCGTGATGAAATAAAGGATTTCTTTGCATTAGACAAGCAGCTGGCATCAGAACTTGAATACGACATCAAGAAGTACAACGAGCAGCTAGCGCAGGAGCAGGAGCTGGCAGGACAAGCAGATGTGAGTGGGGTGGCTTACAGGGCCAGGGAGACACAAAGACCACAAGTAGCATGTGACCCTCCTCTCCAGTCTGCCTTCCACTGCCAGCTTTCCCAGTGCTTCTTGAAACCCACATAGGAGCCGAGGTTGGTTGGAACAAGACCTTTTGGGTTGCCGGTTGTGGATCGCTTTGTGTTCCTTTGCCACGTGTGCCACACAGGTTATTTGATCAGAGAGGCTTCCTTCCCTCATGGCCAGGCCGCATGAATTTTTCTGGAAAGTCATCCTAGTAATACTTGGGGGCCATGTGTGAATGCCCAAAAAGCAAGCTGGTGGTTGGGTTATTTAATGTGTGATTCTAGTGATCATAGCTAACTAGATCCCACTAGGTGTCTCACTTTGTTTGTGATCCTGCTCCCTGTGTGCCCCTGTTCAGGACAAAATGTTGCTTGGGGTATTTCTAGTAAGCTTCCAGACAAAGTGTGGTCACTTCTCTGAGAAATCCAGATAGATCTGTTGCATTAAAAACTGATGAAGGAAAACTAACTTAATCCTTTTTCTCTTTAATGCCATAGCATCTGCCATAACTTTCTGAAGAGAAAGTTCTACTTGCCCAGGGCTGATATGGTTTTAAAATAAATTACTTCTGGACTTGCTCAGGGCATGTGAAGTTTTCATTTAAAAAAAAAAAAAAAAGTTTCAGTAGGTAGTCTTTATTTCTGTTCTCTGACAGGTTGCCCCGAGTTCGGAAGTAATGCCAGCTCTTGCTGGCCAGGAAGGTGCCACTGTGCCTGCTGCTGCTACCCAGCCCTCAACACCCAGGGCGGCTGCTGGCCAAGCACCGCCTCTGTCTCCTTCCCTTGAGGCTGGGCTATTGAAGAGGTTCATGCCCAAAGGCAGGTATGGAGCTGGTGCATCAGGAATGGGGCAGACTGCCTCTCACCACATTCTCTATGATGTCTGTGCCTTCCCCACTGGGTGTTTCATGAACACTTCCTCCAGGCTCCTCTCCTTCAGATTTGCAATGAGTGTGGTTGAGGGTGCACCTGAGAGGCAGAGGGTGGTGACTCCATCATTTTCACCCTCCTCCTCTCCGCGTGTCTGTGGCATGTTTTCCTCTACAGGCCCATGTCCCTGAGCACCATCGCAATCCTGAATTCTGTCAAGAAGGCTGTGGAGTCCAATAGCAGGCACCGGAGTCGGAGCACAGGAGCGTTGCCATTCCCATTAAGCTCTCAAAGCCTGGACAAAATGTGCAATCGTGGTAAGCCCCAAGTGGCTTCAGGGGCTGAAAGCAGTGCTGGGTTTTGTATCTCAGACACCGGGAGGTTACAGATGAAAATACAGAACAGGCCTCCCTCTCATCCTTTTCTAAATGATTTCTGTTTTCTTATCTTTAAAATAAACAACTTTGGGCATTTGGGATTCTGGGTAGGAAGAGATTTGGAAAAGAGAGTAAAGTGGAAAACTCATGCATTAGTGTTCATTTTCCCCATCTTTCTACTCCCCACACACATGCGTTTGGCCTTATTTATAAAGTTGTAATCTTACCGAGCATTTTTGGTTTGTACTCTACTTCCCTACACATACTGACAATAATAGTGAACATTTGCTCATGAACTTTTCTTTCCTAACTTTTCTCCCTGTGGCTTCGTGGCATTCTATCTTGTGAAAGTACTGAAAACCTATTTACTAATACCCTCTTCTTAGAAATATAGGTGTTTTTCAATTCTTTGAAGTAATGTCACAATAAAGTATATAATCTTTAGAATTGATTCCCAGCACTCAGAGGCCATGGATATTTTTAAAGCCTTTGCTCAGGTTGCCTTCTGTAATTCCCTGTGGTTGTACATTGATGGGAGCCAGTGGTGCACCGGTGTCTGTTTTCCTACTTCGAAACATTGGTCTCACAATTTCCTTTCTTCTTTGCCAGGCTTTATAGATCAAAACTGGTGATGGTTTTAATTTCCTTTTCTTTGAATCCTAGTGAAAAAGGGCATTGTTTCTCATGTTTATAATTTTTTTGATATCTTTCTGAATTCATTATAAGAACACTTTATTTGGGATATTAACTTTATCATAGATCTTGCTAATCATGTTGGGGGTTTTTTTGGACAGCTAAAACTTCCCTGTTTTGTCCTAGCAAACTCCTACAGCCTGGAGCAGGAGTCCAGTGGAGCTGTGGACCATGTAACTAAACGAGCGATCAGTACTCCCGAGAGTAAGTACTCCTGTGACAAGCCAGCTTCTGCTAAGTCTCTCCTCAGCCACTGTGTGTCTGTGGGAGCTGCAGTAAGACTCCTTCTCTTGAAAGAAAGGTCTTGTACTAGATGAAGGCACTCCTGTGGTCAACAACATTGTGGTGCCTTGTCACATGGTGTCTCATGATAATTGTAACTCAATAGCCCGGCAACTAGCTGAATGTAAGTCAAGCGCTCTTCTAAGTGCTTTCACAGGCATGAACTCAGTTAAACTCCCAGCCATCCATGAGGATCCCTGTTTGACAGACGGGGAGGCTGAGGTACAACTTCCCTTGGCAGCACCATGCTTGCCATTCTAGAGCCAGCACTTGGGCACTCCTGCCTGCCTCGGGCAGCCCTGCTTTGTAGCTGTCACATGTTGATGCTGGCATGCTACAGGGATGTCATCGAGGCCAGCTCCAGAGCTAAGCTGAGCCTTCGGGTTCAGTGGCCTGTTGAGGACCCCCCACCAGCTGTGTCGAGAACCTCTGTCTTCTCACTCCCATTGGGTGGTTTTTCTAATCTTCTGTTATTTCCTATTATTTCAAAGTCAAGGTGAGTTAGAAGTATAGAGGATTTTTTTCCTATTACCTTGTTTTATAACTTCTTACTGTCCACAGCATGTCTCAGTGTGCCTCCTGCCTCTTCCCTCTTAACCTCCCCCTTCCTCTCTCCGCCACTCCTGGGCCGGGTTCTCAAAGTCCTGCATACACCTGCTCTTGCTTGCCACGGGGCATTCATGCACCATGTCCTCATCTACAACTTCCCTTTCCTTGGTGTTCGCTGCTTTACCCTCCAGCAGCAGTACTCACCACACCTCCAGACACAGAGGACCCCTTGAACAGCACGGGTTTGAACTGCACGGGTCCACTTAGGCGCGGATTGTTTACAGTGCAGCACCGTAAATTGTTTGTCTTAATAGCATTTTCTGATCAGCTTACTTTATTGTAAGAATACAGTATGTGATGCATATGACATACAAAATATGCATTAGTCAACTATTGATATTACTGGTGAGGCTTCCTTCTGGCCAACAGTAGGCTATTGGTAGTTAACTTTGGGGGCAGTTAAAAGTTATACACAGATTTTCGACTGTTGGTGAGGTTGGCAGCTCCAACTCCCTCGTTGTTCAGGGTCAGCTGTACTGCTTCACCTGTCCTTGCAGTTTATAAGCTGTTTTACTCTTCACTGTACCCACTGTGCCTGCCACAGTGCCTGGAACATGGGAGGAGTGAAACAGATGTTAATGAGTTAAGTGATGGGACAAATGGCAGACCTGGGACCTGAAGTCAAGTCTCCTGATTGCAATTCCTATGTCCTTCTACAGCCTTTGCTCTCCCAGTGCTGCTCTTGGGCATGACTGCAAGATGAGAACATGTTAAAGTGTTCTTCTGTTTGATTACGGTGCAGCCCAGGAGCAAGCCATTCATTTAGTTGTACATTCAGTCATACAAATTTATTGAGCACCTACCTAGTGTGTTCTGGCTAGTTGCTGGGCAGTTCTATGACCTGTGATGCTGTGATCTGTTAGAGTATTTACTGAGTTGTAGAGAATTTCCATCAAGGCCTCTTTTTTTTTTTTTAAGATTTTATTTATTTATTTGACAGAGAGATCACAAGTAGGCAGAGAGACAGGCAGAGAGGGGTGGGGGGAGGCTCCCTGCTGAGCGGAGAGTCTGATGCGGGGTTTGATCCTAGGACCCTGAGATCATGACCTGAGCCGAAGGCAGAGGCTTAACCCTCTGAGCCACTCAGGTGCCCATCAAGTCCTCCTTTTAAGGGGAATTAACAGATGAACAGAATTCCTACCCCACATCTCCTTAGATGACAACTGAATCATGACTGCTTTTGTCATTAAAAGCTGTAATTTGGGGTTCCTCTATATTGAACAGGTGTAATATTATATATGTGAAAAATTCAACCCTTTGAAACAGACAAATTTTTTGTATGTTCTTTGTTCCTGGTTCAAGAGTGCTTCTATTTTGGCATTAGAAACCATATGCTGCAGAAATGGGGCGAATGCATCTCATTATAGTTTTGTTGATCCCCAGGAGTCCCTGATTCCAGTCTTTGGTTGGTTTCCTAGCAGCCTGAGTTCCTCAGCTGTGAAGCCTGGCATGCTGCATTAATACTGCTTAAATGTGCATGCATGGAGCCATCTTTGCACTGAAAATAAGACTGTCAGGTGACCCCAGGTCAACAGACTACTTTTTCTTTCTCTAGGCTCTTGAATATAAAATTCGTGGCCATCTTTCCTTATTCTGAACCAGGAAGGAATGCTTGAAGAAGGGTCTCCTATTAGCTCTCCTTCCTGGGAGAATTTTCAGATTATGTAAAAGCACTCAGTTCTGTTTTCTCTGTGGTTTATAAATACACATTCTATTGACAACTCTTAGGTGGGGTGACTGTCAGGAAGTGGTTTCAGCTCTAAGAAGGTAGGAGGAAAAATGCTAGCCAGTTCCACTGTTCTGGCACACCAGTGGTATTCAGCATGAGCAGAGGGGCTTTGCTAAATGTAAATTAGTCCTTTTCAGAGCTAGTTCTTAACTGAAAATCCGTGCAGGTTTAGCAAGTTCCTCTTATTGCTGTCAGGCAGCAGAGATGCTCCTGCCTTTGGTTGCAAGTCCTTACAAAGTGCACAGGGGATCTGAGAGCTACCACATAGCTGCCTTTGCCAAGTTTGGAGACCTATTGCCTGGATGTGCTCAGGCCTCCAAACCAGAAAAGGAATGTATACGTAGGGAAGGGGAGTTTGAACTGCAGCATAAGGAGAGACCTCCCAGAAACAGGAATAAGCACAACTGAGCTATTTGAGTGGCAGCATGATGAAAATACTGGTCTCTCTCTCTCTCTCAAATTTCTTTTCAGTGTACCAGAATTCACTGTTTATGTACCACACCCAGTGTTCCACGCAATACGCGCCCTCCATAATACCCACCACCAGGCTTACCCGACCTCCCAAACCCTGCCCCTTCAAAACCCTCAAATTGTTTTTCAGAGTCCATAGTCTCATGGTTCATCTCCCCCTCCAATTTCCCCCAACTCCCTTCTCTCCATGTCCTCCGTGTTATTTCTTATGCTCCACAAATAAGTGAAACCATATAACTGACTCTCTCTGCTTGACTTATTTCACTCAGCATAATCTCGTCCAGTCCCGTCCATGTTGATACAAAATTTGGGTATTCATCCTTTCTGATGGAGGCATAATACTCCATAGTGTATATGGACCACATCTTCCTTATCCATTCGTCCGTTGAACGGCATTTTGGTTCTTTCCACAGTTTGGTGACTGTGGCCATTGCTGCTATGAACATTGGGGTACAGGTGGCCCTTTTCACTACATCTGTATCTTTGGGGTAAATACCCAGTAGTGCAATTGCAGGGTCATAGGGAAGCTCTATTTTTAATTTCTTAAGGAATCTCCACACTGTTTTCCAAAGTGGCTGCACCAACTTGCATTCCCACCAACAGTGTAAGAGGGTTCCCCTTTCTTCACATCCTCTCCAACACACGTTATGAAAATACTGGTCTCTTAGCAGTTAATGTAGCTTAAGTTGTTCATGGGCACATAGCACTGCAGATGCACTGTGGACTTTAAAACAGACCAGAAAGATCTAATCAGTACTCTTAACAAGGCCACAGTGTAGGGGAGAAGGTTCATAGCACACGTGTTCTTGGAAGGCATGAAGGCTCTGACAGAACAGTCAGCGGCCGGTGTTGAGCCTTGTTCTATTCCTGACAAATGTGTGATAGCTCATGTAGAGCGGTACAAGACACAAAGTAGGGAGCAAGTCCCTGGGAGATGCATCGCCTCCCAGATCTCAAAGGACTGGCATGGTAGTCAGATGAGGGAAGCACTCAGATGAGATGAGGGAAGCACTCCAGGTAGAACTGCACGCCCAGACCAGGGCCAGGAAGAGAACCGTGATGATCGGACATGGTGGCCTATAGTGTGGGAATGCAGCAAGTGGGTTCCTAAGGGTGGCTGGGGGCCGGCTTACACAAAGGTGGGTCTGTCCAGCTCAAACAGAGGCTGGATTTTAGGTCTTCCCCTAGAACACTGAGCTGGCAAGACCCTTAAGCGGAGCAGTCACCTCACTACATCTTTAAACTTAACTCTAGTGACATAGGGAGTAACAGCTAATAAATTACAATAGTAATAACCTTTATTCAGCACTTACCTTGTCCCAAGTCCTCTGTTAAGGACTTAACATAAATAATCTCTTTAATCCCTACAACTGCCCTGAGGTGAGTACATCTGTATCCCATTTTGGAGCTAAAGAAACCTGAGGTTTTGGAGCACCTGGGTGGCTCAATGGGTTAAGCCTCTGCCTTCAGCTCAGGTCATGATCTCAGGGTCCTAGGATCGAGCCCCACATCAGGGCTTTCTGCTCAGCAGGGAGCCTGCTTCCCTCTCTCTCTCTGCCTGCCTCTCTGCCTACTTGTGATCTTGCTCTGTGTCAAATAAAATCTTAAGAAAAAAAGAAAAAAAAAACTTGAGATTTTTAGAGTAATTCAATAAGACCCTGAGCCAGTATTCAGATCAAGTCTGATTCAGGTCTGTTCCTACACTCTGCTCCCTGCCTCCTAGGGGAGAACTGAAAGAAGAGGAGGCCATGGGTGGAGACCACTAAGCTAAGTCAGGGTGAGAGGAGCAGACATCAAGTGAGGAGGAGAGGAGGCAACGGGAGGAGGAGGAGATAGGAGGAAGGCAAATGTAACCAGTTAGTGATTAGGTGTGGAGAAGGAGCCTCTCATGCCTGACAGCTCTGACTTGGACAGTCTATTGATAGGAGATTCAGAAGGAATGTGCTGAGAAGTGGGGGTAATGAGGTGGCCAAGTGTTTTCAGGGAGTGCAGTGAGGGACACTAGGAAATGCAGGACTCCCGAGAGAGGCTAGAGCTGAATGGAGTCACTGGTGTGTTGGCAGTAACTGGAGATGTAGGGTGGGTAAGAAGCCAGAGGCAGTGGGCAGTGGGAATGCAGGGGCCACAGAGCCATCTGAGGGAGTAGTCAGAGGTGGAAGGAGCCAGGAGACCATAGGTGGGATGAGTGTCCAGGAGGAGAGTCTCCAACTTCATTTGAGTCCCACAAAAAGGTAAAATTGAGGCCTGACAGGGCCCCTGGATTTAGATTTGACAGTGCTTAGGGATTGATACAAGTGACTGAGTAAAACTGTAGCAGAAGCTCCATGACTGACCTTGCGCAGGTGACTTTATGTAGGTCTGTCTCCTCCTGGCTTTTTGTTAATGGTGTTGTTTTCCCCGTATTTACCCAGGGACCATCAATGATGTCACATTTGGATTAGGAGTCAGCTACATAGGCACACCACGGACACCTTCAGTCAAAGGCAAGTTCCTTTCCTGTCAGATTTATTAGCCGCTTTAGAGTTCTGGGAAATCTGAATTTGTGTCTGACTCCCTTTCAGAGAAAATTGAAGCCCAGTGTCAAGGAAATGACATTTTATGTTTATCGCTTCCTGATAAACCGTAAGTTTACCAAGAGTTCCTTTTGAGGTAAATGTTTGTGTCAGGGTTTTATCTTTAGTTCCAGAATGATTGTCTCTTTCCTTTCCCTAGGCCGCCACAGCCTCAGCAGTGGAATGTGAAGTCCCCAGCCAGAAATAAAGATAACCCAGCCCCTAGCAGGAGGTCACTCAGAAAGACACCCCTGAAAACAGCCAACTGAAACAGTCATTCAGGAGTATCCGGGAGGCAAGAGCTCTAAGGAGATGTTGTCTCCTGCCTGTGGAAAGGCAGAATCCACCTCCCTCACTCCGAGGGTGAGGGAGACTTTTACTATGTGATACCAGAGTTTTTTCTTGTGACTCCAGCACTCTGTTTATCTGTGTGGCTGGCCAACCTTTTACATTTCTCTTTAGGCAATATGTGGTAAAAAAAACAATATATCTATATATATATATCTATATATCTATCTATATATATATATAATATAGAACTGCCTTAGCTATTTAATATTCTAATTTTACTCCATTTGAAAGTATCATGTTCATTCTGATAAAGCATACTCTGGTCTTTAAGGAACTCAACAGATCAGCTTTCTTTTATATAAATGAAGGCTCTGTTTGTTATATGGTCAGAATTCCCTATAGTACAGTAGTTTCCTGTATCTAATGATGAAATTTTCATTGTAATTATTTTTTTTATTCTTATTTATAAATTGCAGGTTTTTAAAGTGTACAGCTTTATAAAATGGGATAATAAAGGTTAAGCATAAATATAGCCTTCTGGTTATTTAATAGAATATTTCTACTTTTAGAACAGGGCTTTTACTGGTAGTCATTTTGATTCACATTAAGTGTTTAAGAATAATAAAACCCTCCCTGCCTCAAGAACTGTGAGAAATAAATGTCTGTTGTTAAAAAAAAAAAAAAAAAAAGAAAGAGAAAGAAAGAAAAAGAATAAAACCCAACTTTTCTTTTAGGAAAAAAAAATGACTCCCTTTGTCTTTAAGGTTCAGCTCATCTGTCCCTCTGCTTCTGTCCCCTGACAGAAGCTGTCTGCCTCCTAATAGCACACATCTGTCTTCAAATGTAAACATGGGCTGGCTCCTGAAAGTTCCACCTATGTGTGGCATGCACTAATGCTGGTTTGTGTTAACAGTCCACAAAGACTGCTCCCATGAAGGGGGAAGGTCTTGGTGTCTTCTGCTGATACCGTTAGGTAACCTTAAAACACGTGTACATTCATGTTTTATCCAAGACTGGGGAAAAAATTGTCTGTTCCCTTTTTAATCCCAGTACTATAGAAGCAAAATTACAGGGTTACTGTGTTGATATTTTTTTTAGTATAAATGTGGTAGTTGGATTTGAGGGGTAGAATGTCATTGTGCATTGTGTCTATTCTACAGTCCTCCCATACATGAATGGTGACACACATGGAGATGTCATTGGCAGAGAGAGTCACAAAGCTGCTCTTGAGTAAGGATAGTTATCTCCAAATCAAGTAGATGGTAACTGATGGCAGCCTCTTTTGAAACCTGGGATTGTGCCATTTTAAGTGTACCTTCCTAACAAAATGCTAGGAAGATGAGGTAAACTCAACATAAGAGCATATAAGGAGGAGAAATAATGAGACAAAGTTGATTTTTTTAAAAGCTTTTATAAATGAGGTTTAACAAATACCAACTTATAGGTGTGTTAGTACAAGTCTGCAACGTCTATGTACAGCAACAGCCACACCAGAGGCCACAGTAGCCTTATAGAAGCTTTGAGTCTTCAGTCACATTCACATCTTAAAAACACATGAATGTTCCTTTTCTGTCTACATTTTTACAGTATTAGGCAACAACTTCCCAGACTCCATACTCACTTCTGTCAGACCCAGTTCACATGGCACTAGGAGGTGTTGTGGTCACAAGAAGGGAGTCAACAAGGCCATCCTATCACTTGGACAACCAATATGGCAGCTAGAGTGTTGCTCCCCAACAATTAGAGAACAGGGACACTATCCCTTTCTACCAAGATGGGGTGAGGATGAAGGGATATCTTAAGTGTAAGCATTCAAGACACAAACGCAAAAGAAGATGGGTACCATTAAGCAATTATGAAGAGTTGCCCACCACTTCTGCCAAATACCCCATGGCAGAGTATTCACAGAACTTAAAAAAGAAAAGTCAACATAAGTCTCAAGTATTCAATTAAAAAAAAACCCTCCAAGTATAAAAAATTAAGACACTGGAAGTTTAATCCCAAGATGACTCTATCCTTCTGGATAAAAACCATCCTTGAAGCACACTGGAGGCACTGGGACTGGAGGCGCTCTTCTGAGAAGCTCCCTCTTCAAACAGCTTCACATCATGAGTTTAACACAGCAATCTAAGGTGAAGAACATCTGCTCTTGAAGAACAAAGGCTTTTGAATGATGTTTCTAATGTCCCACACCCAGTGAGCAGCAGTGTCTTGGGTAGATAAAGACTTTAAAATAAAAAAAATCAGAAAATGGCCTTTGATTCAGGCATTTCGCTTTCCTTACCATCAGGCTTTCTGCTCTGGCTGCAATACCTGATGTTCTTCAAAGGGATGGCCTCACCGCCACCACACAATGGGTTTATTGTGAAGTGAGACACAACCTGTGGTGTCTCTGTGCTTTCTTCATGGCAAAGAGGAAGAGTGGAATTCATTTTCTTAAAAAACATTATTGTAGTTTTTAGAACGGCCTTTGGCCCTGGACAATCTTATGAACTACACAAATAAGTAAAATGAATTTTAAAACCAAATAGCAGAGGCTGCTTTGTTTCAGGAGCCATCCACAAACAAAGAGCTCTGTCACGGGATCCAAAGGCTGGGATACCACAGGGAAGACACCCACCCTTCTTGAAATGTCCACCTTACAACTAACTGTCCAACACTATAAATATAAAGCTAATCAGCACACAAAGCCACTGTCAGGCCAATAAAGATGGCAGTGCACATGCTGGCTAGCCTTCAAAGTTAGTAGCCAATATCAACTTAGAGCGTGGTGCAGGACTCAAGCCCGGGGGTGGGCTAACATGGTTTCACAGGTACATCCAACCACTTATGGGTGGTGTCTCTGGGCTTAGGTAGTCTGAGTAATCTAGGAAGAGACTGTTCAAAGCCAACCTTAGAGCTTACATTTTCTTCTGGAGAGATGAAAACAGATTTTGACATTATTCAACTGGATTTTTTAAAAAGTTTCCTAAGTAACAATGATCTGATGTATAGACAATGTAGTTATCTTGTGAAAAATGCTGAAACTTATGTGGGGAAAAAGGAATGTTCCAGTAAGCTTCCTCGAGAGGATTTTTTTGGGGTTAAAATACTCTTTTAATTATCGGTATTTTCCAATTTAACACTAGTAGCTTGGAACTCCTACCTTAAGTTGAAAATTTTTTTAAAAAAATAGGTATTTAACACTGTATGACAACATATTTACAGTTTAAATAGAATTTTCCTTTCAATAACCAAAATACATCTTTAGCAAAAATTTAGAATGTAAAATTTTATAAAATAAACACCCATAGAAAAGCAGAGCATTATTTCAGTACCATTTCAGATTTTGCCCAAGATGAAGGTTTGTATGTAAATATTACCGCCCCCTCCCCCGCATGGACAAGCAATTTACCTTCCTGATTTGGGCTGTTTTTATAAAATTCTGATCCAAATAGATTTTCCAATATGGACACTAAAATACTGATCAACAAAACCTTCAGGAAGAATCTGCAGTGCTGGCTGTGGGCAGCTGTGAAACAAGACCATCACATAAAACGCCTCTTTTCTGGGTTCACTGTTCAAACTCTGCAGCTGCAGGGTGCTGCAGCCCTGCAATGCTGGTGCTATGTGGCTGCCTGATGGCCCCACACACAGGACTCACCTGAGCTGATGTAAGTGAGCGGCAAATAAACTGGCTTCGTAGGCCACAGTGCCCAGCCCGGCCTCTATGAGCAAGAGCTTTCCGCTCACCTTAACGCTCAGGTGGGAGCCAGGCCAGAAACAGACTGGGAATCCGCCTCAGAGAAATACAGTTGTGTGTTTTTTTTTTCCCCCTTGTGATGACTATGCCCATCTCGAGGAAAATTCTTTTATTCATGTGGCATGTTAAAAAGTAAGAAAGGAGTAGCGGTCAACTTTGGCCAAAACAAAAAGCTTTTGCGCAAGTGTCTAGCTCTGTCCAAGTGCACTTGGCTCCCGGGCTGCTCTTGATAGGAGTTTCTGGTAGAGGTATTTGCATGTGCTCTCTCAGCCACACCATCAGATTTCAGATCACAAATGATGATTTGTGTCTGAAGTCGCCCTGCAAGGCCAACACAGGTTAGAAACGGCCATCCTTGACAAACCCAGGGGCCCAAGTGGGAGAGGGAAAGTGGAAGCCAGATCTAATCCCCATTTCCCCGAAGAAACTTATGGCAAAACAAATCAAATGAAACCCTTCTTCAAAGGTAATATCTACTACTAGAACCTGCAAACTGAATGCCAGTGTGTAAAAACCCTGCATTGGGAAGGTTTCCAAGGACGAATGCCATTTTTTCTGGAAACACTTCGATTACTAGGTTTCCTAATCAATGTCTGCTCTGTTGCCTCACTCCTTTCCTTACCTCCTCATCTGTCCTGATATAGTTCACTCCATCTGACTTCCCCGGACTCTTATAACTGAAAAAGAAGGAAAGAGGACTTCAATGACTGATTTTTCATGTAATGCCAACTTAAACTTTGGTTTGGTCACTTAAGAAGACAGGCTCACTTTTCGCCATTCTGCTTATTATTGATGAAGTAACCCCGTCTGTACGCACAGCAGATGCCCACAGTGATCAGGACCAGTACAGCGAGGACCACCAGGATTCCCCCAATAATACCACCGATGTTCAGGTCATCTGGAAAAAAGAGGGATTAAGGGAAGAGAAGATACACACTATCTGGTCTTAGAAAAGTCCTTAACCCCACTTCTTTTTTGCATCCTTCCACTTCCCGCAACTGCCCTGTCATGCCTACTCCAGCCAGAAGAGCAGAGTGAGACCACTTCAACTTTTTCTTTTTTTTTTAAGATTTTTATTTATTTGACAGAGACACAGAGAGAGAGGGGACACAGCGAGAGAGGGAACACAAAACAGGGGGACTGGGAGAGGGAAAAGCAGCCTTCCTGCCAAGCAAGGAGCCCGATGTGGGGTTTCATACCAGGATTCTGGGATCATGACCTGAGCCAAAGGCAGAGGCTTTAACCCACTGAGCCATCCAGGTGTCCCCACTTCAACTCTTTTAGCCCAGAACATACAGGACCCCAGACCCCTGCTCTCACTTGTAAAAAGTACTGAGACCTCCACAGTTCAAATGCTGTTATACTTAATCCGGTATTAAAAGGGACTTAGGGGGCATCTGGGTGGCTCAGTGGGTTAAGCCTCTGCCTTCAGCTCAGGTCATGATCTCAGGGTCCTGGGATCAAGCCCCACATCAGGCTCTCCGCTCAGCAGGGAGCCTGCTTCCCCGCCCCCCTGCCTGCCTCTCTTCCTACTTGTGATCTCTCTCTCTCTGTCAAATAAATAAATTTTTAAAAAAATCTTTAAGAGGGGCTTAGCATTTTTAAAAAGGCTTTACAATCTTCTGGCTAAATCCCTAAAAATATTATTAATGGAGAAAATTGTTTCACTTTATAGAGACAGAATTAAGGAGCCAGGAATCCCAAAGAAAAAATTCCTAATTTCCACGGATTTCCTTTGCTGTGCATTATTTGGGGGAAAAGAACTAGTGTTGCACAGGACTGAAAAGTAAAAATATGAGGTGGGAACATGACCTTTCACTCTCAGCTGCATTGCCTCATATCTACAAGCCTCTTGGAGGAAAGCCCTTGACCCTCTCTTCCCATTTCTCTATACCGGGCAAAGGTGCCCCAGTCCACATCAGTGTGGGGCACTAGGGCTGTTTCCTCCATACAGACAAAAATGCAATGGAAAACATGCAAGCGATATAGCAACATAAGCCAGCTAACTTGTAAGTTGTTAAATTCTCCCTTATCTTAATGCAGGGGTTTCAAATGTGAGTGTGCATTTAAAAATTGGAATTTTAACTTTAAAATGTCAATTCCCAAGCTCTCTCACTAGAGAGAGATTCAGTAGGTCTGGGGCAAAGTCCAAGAGTCTTCCTCCTGCCCTGGAGCAGTTTCCTGAATTTGACAGATGACAAGAATCCCCTGGAATTCTGTTTGACACACAGACATTTCCAGACCTCCCCTAAGGACTAAGTCCATAAGCCTGGGGTGGGGCCTTGGAATCTGTACATGAAACAGTGCAAAGGATTCTCATAATCTGGCAAGCTTGGAAAACACTGCTCTGGGGTCAGTTATACTCAGGAAGGAGGGAGGGGCTGAGATAGCTCCCCAGGTGATTGTGAATGTGACATGCTCCATCTGCCCCATCCTGCCTTCAACACCTCTCCTTTAGAACCAGCGCCCTAGAGATGGCATCATCACAGAACATGCATGGTAAAGTTACTGAGGCTAAACCTCTGGCTGTCAGCTTACCACAAAATGGTTATAACTGGATAAATTTCTGGAGACTTTACATGACATTATGTTTTGATCTTATCAATTACCAAAGAAATCAAGTAATTTTTTCTATCTATCCATCCATCTATCCATATATTTATTTATTTTAAGTAGGCTCCATGCCCAGCATGGAGCCCAACACAGGGCTTGAACTCATGACCCTGAGATGAAGACCTGAGCTAAGATCAAGAATCAGATGCTTACATCCCATAAGTGGAGTTAAGGGGCACCTGGGAGGCTCAGTTGGTTAAGTGGCTGCCTTCAGCTCATGTCATAATCCCAGTACCCTAGAGCCCTGCATCAGGCTCCCTGCTCAGTGGGGAGCCTGCTTCTCCATCTCACTCTGCTTTTCTTCCTCACTTGTGCTCTCTGGCTTGCTCTCTCTATCAAATAAATAAAATCTTTAAAAATTTTTAAAAAAAACAACAAACTCAGTTTAAAGTGACATGATTAGCTATGTTTGCAACACCAGAAGACTCCAGAAAGTCTATTTTGAGGAGATAAACATATTTCAAGTAACCACTTATTAGTCACTTAGCTGTTACTCAGAACTTTCTCATCTTTCCTTTCAATGTACCCGGATGGGTTTTGGTGAATTTAGTCATCTCCAGAAGAAAGGAGACCAGTTGTCTAAACTGATGGTCCAATATTAAATTAAAAATGTTCTATCCACTTGCCAGTCTTCAGATGAAATAGTTTCAAAAAGTAACTCACAGACTTCCATCTCCTGCTCCTCACATCTGGCTGAGCCTGCATCATTGGAAGCGATGCAGTAATACTGCCCAGAGTCCTCCTTGTGAACAGCATTGAAAACCTATTTCAGTAAATTACAAGTAAATCATGAGACCAATCAACAGGGCAGACCTCTGTGGACTGAAGACATCACTATGCTCCACCACCCCCGCCTCCCAACAAGGTGCTAAGTCCAGAGCTCAGTAAAATATCTCATTTGCTCTTGGCTTCCTTTCAGTTTCCTGCACTGTCAGGTTCTTCCCTGATATTCTTCCCCAGCAGTCTTGCCCAAGAGCTCCTGAACAATGAGAGCCCCTCAGATTTTTGGAGATATCAAAGCAACATTCAGAATGCAGTGTGAAGATAAGAATAAGGCTTGTTTCTCAGCAACACTTGGGCAATACAAATACAGAGGATTTTATATAACCTGGCTTGTTACTACGTATAGTTAAATACGCCAAGGATCAGGAGGGCTGGCTGTAGGAAAGCCCAGCTGAGATGCCGCTGCGGAGGGCAGTCTGTCTTCTATACATGACCAATCTAACTGCATCTTGCCCCCCAACCACTTTCCACTACCATCACTGGGTTATTTTGAAGAAAATTCTAGACACATTTTATCCATAAAAACTTCAGCATGCAACTCTAAAAGACAAGGACTTCTTCAGATTATAACTATAATACCTTATTGTACCTAAAGCAATGAACAATTCCTTAACATCGAATATTCCACCAGTAATCCAGTTTCCCTGTCTCATTACAGGTGGTTATTCACATCAGGACCCTAACATCACCCATCCATTATATTTCTTTAATAGACCTACACAATCACCTTTATTTTACAAGTTTCCCTTCCTTTATTTTAATCCTTTTAGAACTTACTTGCTTATATAAATGAGGGAGGGTTCATTTTTCCCACAGAATCCCCAACATTATAGGTTTTTAGTTCCTGTCTTATAAAGTTTATTGTTTTTCCTAGTAAGTGCTCTTCCCACCATAAATATCCCTTCCTCAACAAAGACATTTCTTCTATCCTCATGTCCAAGAAGAGATCTTACCAGAGTGCCTGTTTCAGAGTTTAAGAGAAAAGAGGAATTTCGGAATCTAGGATTGGCTCTGGAGTCTGTGGGCAGCGGCACATCATTGCGGTACCAGCTGTAGTGCGGCCGGGGGTAGCCCTCACTCTCCTGGCAGTGCAACGTGGCCGTCTTGCCTACAGGTACAGCCTTCGGGACTCTGCACACAGGAGGGACTGGCTTCACTGTGGAAGAAATTCAAGTTGGGGTTTCAAATCAGCCACATGGACTGATTCTTCTGAAAGCCCATAATAAACCTGCTCACAAAAAAGGAAAACCAGCCAGGGGATGCACCACTGCCATAGCCATGTCACGCCCACGGGCTTGGATCTGCCATGGCATCTGCTCCACACACAGCTCACCCCCATGTATAACCCACAGTGCATTTCTAATGCCCGCACCTCCTGAGGAGCACTTCCTACAGCTGGTTGGGGGTAGTGGCCGGAGCTCCACCTCCCTTCTCGCCTTCTATCCCAACTCAGGCAGTCCAAGCTCCTACAACCGGCTGCCCCCTAAGGCCTGCGATACCCTCAGGGATATACCTCTGGAAAGAAAGAAAGAGCTAATCTCTTTTATTTTTATTTTTATTTATTTTTCCGCCTCCCCAACCTTTTATATTTTATGACAGATTCATGAGGTCTAAAAGGGGGAACATATTTTTAACTTCATGTGAGTTCCTACCTTGAACAGTTAACTCAATGACAATCTCATCAATTTCTTTCCGGTCGTTTCGAGCAACCACCTCACAGCGATAAAGGGCTGAGTCTGTCCGGGTCACATTCCAGATTCTTAGAGAGGTTTTCCCCAATAGTTCTGCACGACCTGCCAAATCTCCTACAGAAAAGAAGATGCAGAACACAAAAAGACTGTTTAAAGACATCTTTGTCACCTGTGAAGAAGGTAGCTTCTGGGGCTAGCATTTAATGCCTCAGTAAGGACACTGCAGACTGGCTTCTCCTTCTGCTCCTGTAAAAGAGAGGTAAACTAAGGACACTGAGCACCAAAATAGTACCTGGTGTGTAAGAGGACTCATTACATGTGTCTCTGTTGTTAAAGCAGGGACCTTGGGACGCCTGGGTGGCTCAGTCAGTTAAGCATCTGCCTTCAGCTCAGGTCATGATCCCAGTGTCCTGGGATCGAGTTCTGCTATCGGGCTGCCTGCTCAGCAGGGAGCCTGCTTCTCCTTCTGCCTCCACGTCTCCCCTGCAACCTGCTCATGCTTTCTCTCTGACAAATAAATAAAAATCTTTTAAAAATAATAAATAAATTAAGCAAGCAAGCAAGCAAGCAAGCACGGACCTCATTTCATTCTCATCATTCCTAGCCAGGATTCCCCATTAAAAGAAAAAAAAAAAATCAAACAAGCAACATGAAAAAAACAACCAGTATTTATAAATGGTGCTAGGACAACTGGATATCCACATGCAAAAGAATGAGGCTGGACTCCTACCTCACACTATACAACAAAGACTTTCCTCTAAGAGTTAACAGTATGGGGGCTCCTAGTGGCTCAGTCAGTTAAGCTGTGGCTTAAGTCAGTTAAGACCTTCATCAGGCCTCAGGCCATGATCCCAGGGTCCTGGGATCGAGCCCCACTGCTCAGTGGGGAGTCTGCTTGTCCCTATCCTTCTGTCCCTCCCTGCTGCTTGTGCTCTATATCTCAAGCACTCACTCTCTAATAACTAAAACTCAAAATAAAACAAAATAAAAAGAGTTAACAGTATGGCTCTCAGGAAAAAACAGATATAAATCACCATGATCTTGGATTAGGCAATAATTTTTTAGAAATGGCACCAAGACCACAAGCATAAAAAAAAAAAAATGGCTCGGAGGAGGAGTCAAGATGGCGGAGAAGTAGCAGGCTGAGACTACTTCAGGTAGCGGGAGATCAGCTAGATAGCTTATCTAAAGATTGCAAACACCTACAAATCCAACGGGAGATCGAAGAGAAGAAGAACAGCAACTCTAGAAACAGAAAATCAACCACTTTCTGAAAGGTAGGACTGGCGGAGAAGTGAATCCAAAGCGACGTGAAGATAGACTGCGGGGGGAGGGGCCGGCTCCCGGCAAGCGGCGGAGCAACGGAGCACAAAATCGGGACTTTTAAAAGTCTGTTCCGCTGAGGGACATCGCTCCAGAGGCTTAACCGGGGTGAAGCCCACGCGGGGTCAGCGTGGCCTCAGGTCCCGCAGGGTCACAGAAGGATCGGGGGTGTCTGAGTGTCGCAGAGCTTACAGGTATTAGAACAGGGAAGCCGGCTACAGAGACAGAGCCGAGGAGTAAGCTCTAAGCTCGGGGTTACCTTGAACCGGTCGCAGGCTCGGTCAGCTCGGAGCGTGGCCCGAGGCCCGGTGACGGGAGTAAATCGGCGCTGGTCTCTGAGGGCGCACTGAGGAGTGGGGCCCCGGGCTCTCGGCTCCTCCGGGCCAGACACCAGGAGGCCGCCATCTTCATTCCCGCCCTCCGGAACTCTACGGAAAGCGCTCAGGGAACAAAAGCTCCCGAAAGCAAACCCGAGCGGATTACTCAGCCCGGCCCCTGGTAAGGCCTGTGCAATTCCACCTGGGGCAAACACTTGAGAATCACTACAACAGGCCCCTCCCCCAGAAGAGCAACAAGAAACCCAGCCAGGACCAAGTTCACCTACCAAGGAGTGCAGTTTCAATACCAAGGAGAGCAGCGGAATTCCAAAGGAGGAGAAAGCAAAGCATGGAACTCATGGCTTTCTCCTCATGATTCTTTAGCCTTGCAGTTAATTTAATTTTTTTTCTTTTTCAATTTATTTTTCTTCTTCTGCTAAATTTTTTTAACTTTTACCCTTTTCTTTTTTAACGTTTTTTAACTAGTTTATCTAATATATACATATATATATATTTTTTTTCCTTTTTATATTTTTTCTTTATTGGTTTTCTTTTTTTAATTGTTTCTTTCTTTCTTTCTTTCTTTTTTTTCTTCTTTCTGAACCTCTTTTTATCCCCTTTCTCCCCCCTCACGATTTGGGATCTCTTCTGATTTGGCTAAAGCATATTTTCCTGGGGTTGTTGCCACCCTTTTAGTATTTTACTTGCTCCTTCATCTACTCTTATCTGGACAAAATGACAAGGCGGAAAATTCACCACAAAAAAAAGAACAAGAGGCAGTACCAAAGGCTAGGGATCTAATCAATACAGACATTGGTAATATGTCAGATCTAGAGTTCAGAATGACGATTCTCAAGGTTCTAGCCGGGCTCGAAAAAGGCATGGAAGATATTAGAGAAACCCTCTYNGGAGAKATAAAAGCCCTTTCTGGAGAAATAAAAGAACTAAAATCTAACCAAGTTGAAATCAAAAAAGCTATTAATGAGGTGCAATCAAAAATGGAGGCTCTCACTGCTAGGATAAATGAGGCAGAAGAAAGAATTAGCGATATAGAAGACCAAATGACAGAGAATAAAGAAGCTGAGCAAAAGAGGGACAAACAGCTACTGGACCACGAGGGGAGAATTCGAGAGATAAGTGACACCATAAGACGAAACAACATTAGAATAATTGGGATTCCAGAAGAAGAGGAAACAGAGAGGGGAGCAGAAGGTATATTGGAGAGAATTATTGGAGAGAATTTCCCCAATATGGCAAAGGGAACAAGCATCAAAATCCAGGAGGTTCAGAGAACCCCCCTCAAAATCAGTAAGAATAGGTCCATACCCCGTCACCTAATAGTAAAATTTACAAGTCTTAGTGACAAAGAGAAAATCCTGAAAGCAGCCCGGGAAAAGAAGTCTGTAACGTACAATGGTAAAAATATTAGATTGGCAGCAGACTTATCCACAGAGACCTGGCAGGCCAGAAAGAGCTGGCATGATATATTCAGAGTACTAAACGAGAAAAACATGCAGCCAAGAATACTATATCCAGCTAGGCTATCATTGAAAATAGAAGGAGAGATTAAAAGCTTCCAGGACAAACAAAAACTGAAAGAATTTGCAAATACCAAACCAGCTCTACAGGAAATATTGAAAGGGGTCCTCTAAGCAAAGAGAGACCCTAAAAGTAGTAGATCAGAAAGAAACAGAGACAATATACAATAACAATCACCTTACAGGCAATACAATGGCACTAAATTCATATCTCTCAATAGTTATCCTGAATGTGAATGGGCTAAATGCCCCAATCAAAAGACACAGGGTATCAGAATGGATAAAAAAAAAAACCTATCTATATGTTGCCTACAAGAAACTCATCTTAAACCTGAAGACACCTCCAGATTTAAAGTGAGGGGGTGGAAAAGAATTTACCATGCTAATGGACATCAGAAGAAAGCAGGAGTGGCAATCCTTATATCAGATCAATTAGATTTTAAGCCAAAGACTTAATAAGAGATGAGGAAGGACACTATATCATACTCAAAGGAACTGTCCAACAAGAAGATCTAACAATTTTAAATATCTATGTCCCTAACATGGGAGCAGCCAACTATATAAACCAATTAATAACAAAATCAAAGAAACACATCAACAATAATACAATAATAGTAGGAGACTTTAACACTCCCCTCACTGAAATGGACAGATCATCCAAGCAAAAGATCAACAAGGAAATAAAGGCCTTAAATGACACACTGGACCAGATGGACATCACAGATATATTCAGAACATTTCATCCCAAAGCAACAGAATACACATTCTTCTCTAGTGCACATGGAACATTCTCCAGAATAGATCATATTCTCGGTCCTAAATCAGGTCTCAACCGGTCAAAACATTGGAATCATTCCCTGCATATTTTCAGACCACAATGCTCTGAAGCTAGAACTCAATCACAAGAGGAAATTTGGAAAGAACCCAAATACATGGAGACTAAACAGCATCCTTCTAAAGAATGAATGGGTCAACCAGGAAATTAAAGAAGAGTTGAAAAAATTCATAGAAACAAATGATAATGAAAACACAACGGTTCAAAATCTGTGGGACACAACAAAGGCAGTCCTGAGAGGAAAATATATAGCGGTACAAGCCTTTCTCAAGAAACAAGAAAGGTCTCAGGTACACAACCTAACCCTACACCTAAAAGAGCTAGAGAAAGAACAAGAAAGAAACCCTAAACCCAGCAGGAGAAGAGAAATCATAAAGATCAGAGCAGAAATCAATGAAATAGAAACCAAAAAAACAATAGAACAAATCAATGAAACTAGGAGGTGGTTCTTTGAAAGAATTAATAAGATCGATAAACCCCTGGCCAGACTTATCAAAAAGAAAAGAGAAAGGACCCAAATAAATAAAATCATGAATGAAAGAGGAGAGATCACAACTCACACCAAAGAAATACAGACAATTATAAGAACATACTATGAGCAACTCTACGCCAACAAATTTGACAATCTGGAAGAAATGGATGCATTCCTAGAGACATATAAACTACCACAACTGAACCAGGAAGAAATAGAAAGCCTGAACAGACCCATAACCAGTAAGGAGATTGAAACAGTCATCAATGGGGCGCCTGGGTGGCTCAGTGGGTTGAGCCTCTGCCTTCGGCTCAGGTCATGATCTCGGGGTCCTGGGATCGAGCCCCGCATCGGGCTCTCTGCTCGGCGGGGGGCCTGCTTCCTCCTCTCTCTCTGCCTGCCTCTCTGCCTGCTTGTGATCTCTCTCTGTCAAATAAATAAATAAAACCTTTAAAAAAAAAAAAAAAAAAAAAAAAAAAAAAAAAAAAAAAAAAAAAGAAACAGTCATCAAAAATCTCCAAACAAACAAAAGCCCAGGGCCAGATGGCTTCCCGGGGGAATTCTACCAAACATTTAAAGAAGAACTAATTCCTATTCTCCTGAAACTGTTCCAAAAAATAGAAATGGAA